CACAATTCCGGACTTAAGCTCTATTACAAAGCTGTCATCATCAAGACAGTATGGTACTGGCACAAAAACAGACACATAGACCAATGGAACAGAATAGAGAGCCCAGAAATGGACCCTCAACTCTATGGTCAACTAATCTTCAACAAAGCAGGAAAGAATGTCCAATGGAAAAAGGGGGAGAAGTTGGAGGGGGAGACAAACCATGAGAGACTATGGACTCTGAAAAACAAACTGAAGGTTCTAGTGGGGAGGGGTTGGGGGGATGGGTTAGCCTGGTGAGGAGTATTAAAGAGAGCACGTTCTGCATGGAGCACTGGGTGTTATATGCAACAATGAATCATGGAACACTACATCAAAAACTAATGATGTAATGTATGGTGATTAACATAACATAATAATAAAAATTAAAAAAAACTAATGATGTATGGTGATTAACATAACATAATAAAAAAATAAAAATAAAAATGAGCAAAATTCCACATATCCAACAAGCTGTTTGGTTTTGTATTTCAGCGTAATGTGCCCATTGTAGAAAGGAATTGTCAAGTAAGATAGGTGAACAGAGAACAAAGAGAAAAAAACAACCTTCATCGTCTGGAGTCAAGACTGGTGTAAGACTCAATATTTGTTTATTTCATGCTGCCTGCTTGGCTGCACGGTCTGCCAAATTGTTTCCCTTAGATTCTAAGGTCGTGTCCCTTTGATGTGCTCTCAGGTGAGTCCCAGCTACCTCCTGAGGTAGGTGTCCAGCCTCAAGAAGAGCAATAATTACGGGCCCATATTTGATTGGGGAATTATTGCTTCATCATAATCTCCTTTCTTTCCAAATTGCCCCATGGGATGTAGCACTACGGGGTCAGTATAAATATTAATTTTTAGGCCTTTCGCCAATTGAAGAGCATGGGTAAGTGCTATTAATTCAGCCTTTTGGGCAGAAGTTTTTATTGGAAGGGCTTTTGCCTCAGTGGTCTTAGTTAAACTAACTATAGCAAATCCGGCTTTTCTTTCTCCCATATCCACGAAGTTACTGCCCTCAGTAAACCAATTGTCGTATGCATTTTTTCCTTTCTTTCTTTCTTTTTCCTTTCTTTTTTCTTTCTTTCTTTCTTTTTTTTTTTTTTAAAGATTTTATTTATTTGACAGAGAGAGACACAGCGAGAGAGGGAACACAAGCAGGGGGAGTGGGAGAGGGAGAAGCAGGCTCTCCAATGAGCAGGGAGCCCCATGCGGGGCTCGATCCCAGAACCCTGGGATCATGACCTGAGCCGAAGGCAGACGCCTAACGACTGAGCCACTCAGGCGCCCCTTCTTTCTTTCTTCTTTCTTTCTTTCTTTCTTTCTTTCTTTCTTTCTTTCTTTCTTTCTTTCTTTCTTTCTTTCTTTCTTTCTTTCTTTCTTTTCTTTCTTTCTTTCTTTCTTTCTTCCTTTCTTCCTTTCTTCCTTTCTTTCTTCTTTCTTTCTTTCTTTCTCTCAAAGATATTTGTTTTATTATTTATTTGAGAGCGAGAAAGAGCACAGAAGCAGGGGGAGAGTGACAGAGGGGGAAAGAATCCCAAGTAGACTCCCTGCAGAGCACAGAGCCCGATGAAGGGCTCGATCCCACACCACCGAGACCACTACCTAAGTGGAAACCAAGAGTCAGACGCTCAACTGACTGAGCCAGGCGCCCCTCGTCTGCATTTTCTTTCTTTCCTGTTTGAGCCAAGCCTTGGGATAGTGTTGAAAATAAAAGGGGACGATGGTAACTGTTTTACAGTCACGGGATATAGGCACGGGGCAGCTGTGAAATGCACCCTTAGGCCTTGGGGAGCATAGTTAATTGCCTTCTTGGCCCTAATAGGAGATTAGTAGCTGCTCTTTATATCTGCTTTTCCCATATTTTTTTCTTAAGTAAGCTCTATGCCCAGCGTGGGGCTTGAACTCAGCACTCTGAGATCAAGAGTTGCATGTTCTATCGACTGAGCCAGCCAGGTGCCCCGATTCCATTATTTACAAAAGTTCTCCTTACTTCCTATTAGCCAATCTCTCATTGCTCCCACCCCCTGTGATAGCTCATAGTGACAGATACTGATTCCAGGCAAGAGTTTACCATTCTGCTCGCAGGGACTCAGGTACCGCCATGCTCCAGGGGCTTATACAAAGCCTGATCCACAGGCATGGAATCCCACACAACAGCATCCAATCAGATGACCCACTTCCCAGTAAAAGGTGTGAGAATGGGTCCCTGACCGTGAAACCATAGATTGTTGCACACACGGTGCTTCTAGAAGGAGCCAGCCCCACAGAGGAGTAGAACAACGAGCGCACACCTGAAGTGCCAGCAACCTTCTGAAAGGATGCAGTACCATCTGTCAGGACGCATTTCCCCCAAGGCTTTGGGGACATTTCTGGGAACCAATGAGTGGGAGAGGGAGTGGTCCTACTTACTATCACTTCCAAAGCTCCACCACGGGACTTGGTGCTTCCATCCATTTCTGGATTCTGCAGCATTGGAAGTCCTGGTCCCAAAGGAGGCAACTCTTGCTGGGGGACCCAGGAAGGTCCCATTGAACTACGAACTATGGCCGAGTCTGGGGCCCATTGGCCTGACTGTGCTCAGGCACGAGCTGATGAAACAAGGAGTCTCCCTGGCCAGCAGGAGGAGCGGAGCTACTTTTAGACAGTGAGGACCCGAACTAACACAAGCCATGGACGAGAAGAGCAGCGTGTGGGTGGGGGAGAGGAAACGTCCACAAGGGCCATATTTATCAACAAACTCTTTTAACACGATTAATAATTAGAGTTGTTTTTTCCTCTAGATGTCTTTTTCTTCTTGTTCCATGCCTTTAGCACCATGGTCTTACCTTTTAGGGCACTTAGAGCACTTAGGGAGGTTTAAATTTGTATGTGACTTGATTAAGGTTATTCTTTTTGTTGTTGTTGTTATTTATTTTTTATTATGTTCAGTTAGCCACTGTATAGTACAGAATTAGTTCTTGATGCCATGCTCAGTGATTCATTAGTTAAGTATAACACCCAGTGCTCTCTCGCGCGCGCTCTTGTAAGCTCTGTGGGGGCAAGGTCCGTGTGTTTTTTTCCAGTATTGCACACCCAATTCCTACCATAATGCTGAGTGCATAGGGGCTCAGAATTATTGAGTGATTAAACTTATTCAGGAATATTTAGTCTACAGCAAAATTTACTAAGTGTAGTAGCAAGATAACATTATTGACAGGACACTATCACGAAATGTACAGAAGTCCTCGGGAGTAGACTTATGATTTTAAAATACAGATGACAAGAAGAAGAAGAAGGTAGCGGGAGGGGAAGAATGAAGCGGGGGAAATCGGAGGGGTAGACGAACCATGAGAGACGATGGACTCTGAAAAACAAACAGGGTTCTAGAGGGGAGGGGGGTGGGAGGATGGGTTAGCCTGGTGGTGGGTATTTAGGAGGGCACATTCTGCATGGAGCACTGGGTGTTGTGCACAAACAATGAATCATGGAACACTTCATCTAAAACTAATGTTGTAATGTAAGGGGATTAACATAAGAATAAAAAAATTAAAAAAAAAAAAAAATACAGATGACAGTCAGCTGTCCAATAATTGGTCTAACAAGATCTGACAAGGAGTGGTAGCTAAGTCTCATGCTATGTGGGGTGGCCTCCATTCCTTAAGTAGAAACAAACACGTGACAACACCGTGGAGATTTATGGGGTTGTTTGCGGTCGTTGGCATGAGGAAATTTGAAAAGCAAGCCCTGCCTCTTCCATCTTCCTCACCAAGCTATGTTAGGATTAGCCTGCTCTCTCACATGGCTTGTAATTCTTAGCAACTAGGATGTTAGCATGTCCAGAAGGTCATTTTAAAGTGTTGTCTAGAAGGAAAAGATTTCTGATCTTTCCACATGAATAGCATGGACACAAAACGTACAGCTGTGTGTGTCCTCTCAGGGGTGTATCTGCACTTGGGCAAATCCAAAAGTGAGCTCCTCTTTTCATGCTGCTCCCCAGGCATATCGTTGGCCTCACCCTGGTCCCGCCCCTCCCCAACTGTGGGAGCCTGATAAAATGGCAGATTCAGGGGTCCCTTCCCAGAGCATGGTAAATTACATACAGCTGTTGCCAACTTAATGATGGTTTGACATGATTTTTCAACTTTACTATGGCGCGAAAGTGACAGGCTTTCAGCAGAAACTGTACTTCAAATTTTGAATTTATCCCGGGCTGGTGATATGCAGTACATATTCTCTCGTGATGCTGGGTAGTGGCAGAAGGCTATAGCTCCCCATCAGTCACACAATCAAGAGGGAAAATAACCGATACACTGATGACCATTCTGCACCCATACAACCCTTCTGGTTCACTTTCAGCACAGTATTCAATAAATTACATGAGATATTCAACACTTTAGTATAACGTAGTCTTTGTGTGAGATGATCTTGCCCAACTGTTGGCTAAGGTAAGTGTTCTGGGCATGTTTAAGGGAGACTAGGTAGGCTAAGCTATTGATGTTCAATAAGTTGGGTTTATTAAATGCATTTATTTTATTTTATTTTATTATGTTATGTTAATCATCATACATTACATCATTAGTTTTTGATGTAGTGTTCCATGATTCATTGTTTGCGTATTAAATGCATTTTTGACTTAATGCTATTATCACCTAACAATGGGTTTATCAGGATATAACCCCTTTTTAAGTCAAGGAAGATCTTTACTTTGCACTGAGAATTACTGATAAAGAAAAGGAAATATCTACTTGACTTCAAGAGGGAATAAGTCAATTGAAAGAGGTTTAATTAAGACAAAAAACTGACTGTACATAATTTATAAAAGACATTTCAGAAGTCAGGATCCCATTGCCCCAAAAAATCAACTGAAGGCAGAATACTGGACCCTAATACATTTGCATAACACTTAATTTAAAAATTTCATTTTGCATACAAAGGGAGAAACATGAAGAAAAGGGAATACTTTAGATTGGAAATCAAGACACAAATCAAGTACTACCAAGAAATACTGCACATAACTTTATTTTTCTTTTGAATCAAGAGGCTTTATACAGATCTAACTTCATGAACAAAACAAATCATGCATTGATATTTACCATACAGCTTAATGGATCCAAAAGCATGATATCTACCATAAGATAGGCATCATTATATATTTCTAGTTTTAAGAATCATCATGATGCCATAATTTAGATTTATTGCCCATCTTTACAATTAAATATTAAAACCTTTTGGGAGATCATGATACCTCTATTATTAATTTGAAATTATTTCATTTTCCAATTATCTTGCTCAGAAATAAAAGGCATAATCATAAAGTATGTTAAGCTCCATTCCTAAAAGAGAAATCTTTAATCACAGGCTAACCAGTGTTGTTTGGGGCTTAAACATGCACTATTTCAAGAACAGTTTTTGCATAAGCATAATTGATAACATTAAAAAGGCAGAAAGTGATTATTCCATTCATATTATCAGCTCCTGGAAAAGTACCGAAGTGCGTTCTTGAGATATTAAGGCATTTGGGGACAAAAGACACCTCCAGTTTCCTTAGCTCAGAGCTTGCCTTTATTCTTGAAAGTCTCCTTCATCTGTTTGACAACAGAAAGGTCCCCTGCTCCATCAGGCCAGTTGTCATGATCTGGTAAGTGGAAAACCTCATGTCAGGTGCATATCTATTAACCTCCTTCATCCTCTTAGTTTCCAACAGACCCTCTTCTTATTTTCCCTAATTCACCCCTTTTCTTTTCTCAGCAAGAAAAAAGAAACCATTAGGACAACTGGCAAAGGTCTTGAGAAAATCCTGGTTTTGAATCCCAGCCCTGCCACACATACTAGCCTTTCCAAATTTGGAGAAGTTCCTCCTCCTGAGCCTGTTTTCCTCAGGGGGGTAACAACAGCTGTTCTTCTGACGTTGTGAAAATGAAATGTGATGGCCTGCGTTGCGTGCTTGGCATACTGTGGCCGCTGGATCTACACTACCCTAGGACCCAGGATGACCTGAAAGACATGTGCTTACTTTGTACCGGGCGCACGTAGCTGCCTGTCCAGCATCCAGTCCCTCATCCTCTCTTTCCAAGAGCCTCCACCTGCACTTGGGAATCCATGAGGTTCTGGGGAAGTGGCCCCACTTTGATCACTGACTGAGCTAAGTTAAGCAGTGCACTCCATTCCTCTGGCTCTGGTTACTGCTTGAGGACGGCCACACGCATCAGCTCGTCCAAAACAAAGTAGGTCTCAGAATTCTGCTAGAAATGCTGTAACAATGTCATTCCCTCCCCTCTCTCTGTCCAGCTGGCTGGGGACAAAGAAGCATGGGGCTTTCAGGTGGCAGGCCGCTGTTCTGCAACCAGGAGAGTCCGTCTTAAGATAAAGCCAACACAGCAGAAGCAAAAACAGAGGGAAAAGAAAAAAAAATTATCCCCAATGAGCTCAGTGAACAGATGATTCAAGTCTGGCTTGCTGTTCAGTTATGCAGGCCAGTAAATGCCTTTCTTGCTCAGGCAAGTTTGAGCTGCAGCTAAAAGCATTCTATGTGATACAGGGCTTTAAATGTGTGTTATCTAATTTAATGCTCCCAACCGTTTACTCAATAAATGCTGTAAGCAACCCCACTTTACAGAAAAGAAAATGGAGGCCTACAGACATTAATTTTCCCAAGATCACACAGCTAGTAAGGGTCTAGCAGGGCTTCCACCCCAGGCTTTGTCACTCTAGGGCTGGCAATTTTCAAGAAAACACAGGACAGAAAGGCTCAGTAAGTATTCCCACTCGTTATTTGGGGGGAGGGGGGGACATATTGTTTGTTTGTTTTTTAAAGATTTTATTTATTTATTTGTCAGAGAGAGAGAGAGAACAAAAGCAGGGGGAGCGGCAGGCAGAGGGAGAAGCAGGGTTCCACTGAGCAGGGAGCCGGATGCGGTACTCGATCCCAGGACCCTGGGTTCATGACCTGAGCCGAAGGCAGACGCTTAATGACTGAGCCACCCAGGCGTTCCCGGGTGGGGGTGGGGGGTGGAGGAGTATATTCTTGAAAAATCGCTCTGATTTCGCCAAAAGCTTAAAAAATATCTTTACACTAATAAATAGTGTTTGGGATACTTGGGTGGCTCGGTCGGTTAAGCATCCGATTCTTGGTTTCTCTCTCAGGGTCATGAGATGGAGCCCTGCATCCAGCTGAGCAGGGAGTCTGCTTGGGATTCTCCCTCTGCCTTCCCCCTGCTCTCTTTCTCTAAAGTAAATAAATAAAATCTTAAAAAACAAAACAAACAGTGTTGGGATTACAAAAGAGAACTGTTTCACTGGAGGCCTGGAGAAGCAGCTGCCTGGAGTTAACTTTCCCTTTCTAAAGGAGAATCGACAAATACCCTCAACACCAGCAGTGAGGGAAGTAGAAAGCGTCCCTTCCACCTTGGGCACTTTAAATACTATCTGAAAACAGTATTGCATAACACGTAGGCATTTCTGTCTTTCTAACCAGGTGCACATCACCACATTGATGTTATTAGTAAAGAAATACAGATGGGAGGGGGCAATAATAATATTAAAGTCCCAGACTAATCATTTATTAATGCAAAGAAGGTCTGAAGCCTTGAGTAGACTGTTAGTACACAAAAGAGTAGGGTGAACCTAGGTCCCTGATACGAAATTGAAATACATGTGCAGGGGCGCCTGGGTAATGCTGTCAGTTTAGCAGCTGACTCTTGGTTTCAGCTCAGGTGTGATCTCAGGGTCGTGAGATTGAGCCCTGCGTCGGACTCCATGCTTAGCAGAGTCTGCTTGAGATTCTCTCTCCCTGTCCCTCTGCCTGCCCCTCCTCCCGTGTTCTCTATCTCTCTCTCACTGAAATAAATAAATAAATCTTAAAAAAAAAAATACACATGCATTACATCAACCATATTTTAATTTGTTAGTAGCCACTTACTCTTCAGCAACAGTGAAAATACCTTTGAATTTTGTATTTGTGGGCAACATCTATATTTGGTTGAGCCTTATAAAACTACTGGTTCTGTATATTAAAAATGGTTGAATACAGCCAATTCATATGGTTTCATTCAATATACATCCCAAAGATAATGTAAAATAGTACCGTAGCACGCCTCCCCACCTAACAGGTCTGAGTCTTCTGCTGAGATATACAAGCCACTTCTTAGAAGAACAAAGAGGAAATAAATCTTAAAAATACAGCAACCTCTTGCCTCTTTTCTGTCTCCTCCTTATACTATATACTCATATTAAGAATATTTTTCAAGGTTAAACTTCCACCAACCTATACACACAAGGCAATTTTTAAAAAATATATAAAGCTATGTGCTATGATAAAAAATATTTAGATATTTTCTTTGGGAACATTTCCTTTAAAGATCCTATCAGGAATATAAACATTTTGTACATTTTTGATGTTCCGTGAGAGAAAACCCTAATCCTTTATGTAACTGCTTAAGAAATTTTGTAAACTTGGGCACCTGGGTGGCTCAGTCAGTTAAGCAGCTGCCTTCGGCTCAGGTCATGATCCCAGGGTCCTGGGATTGAGCCCCGCATCGGGCTCCCTGCTCAGTGGGGAGTCTGCTTCTCCCTCTTCCTCTGCTGCTCCCCCTGCTTGTGCTCTTTCTCTCTCTCAAATAAATAAATAAAATCTTTTTTTTTTTAAGAATTTTATTTATTTATTTGACAGAGAGACACAGTGAGAGAGGGAACACAAGCAGGGGGAGTGGGGGAGGGAGAAGCAGGCTTCCCGCCGAGCAGGGAGCCAGATGCGGGGCTTGATCCCAGGACCCCGGGATCATGACCTGAGCCCAAGGCAGACGCCCAACGACTGAGCCACCCAGGTGCCCCAAATAAATAAAATCTTAAAAAAAAAAAAGAAAAAGAAAGAAATTTTGAAAACTTGAACCTGAAAAGGCATAAAGTTAGTGACTGCTCATTTCTTGAGGGCTCACCTGGTACATCGAATAGGTGCATATACAAAGACTGGCCCCCGTCCACATCCACCAACTGTCCAGTAATAAAGGAAGCTGCAGGGGACAGCAGGAAGCAGACCAGCGAGGAGATCTGGAAACAGAAGCACACACATGCACACAGAAAAGCAGATGCTCCCCATTTGGGGCTGCTTCCCTGCCCAAGAAAACACATCTCAAAACATACAACTGTAATATGCATTCTACAGTCTGTGTGCACCATCACCTAACAAAACACAGACAACTAACTGCCTTTTTCTATTTGAGCACCATTAAAAAAATGTGACTAGTGTGGCAAGATGTGAAGGAGCCTACACCGTGTCAAACAAGCTAGACATGGTGAATAAGCTGAAAGCGAACACAGTGCTTGATTTTTCCCACAAACTACCCAGTTCCTTCCACACCTTTCAGTGCTTACCATAACTCACTTTTCCACGCCATCATGTGCCTTTTATGCTTTTGTCCCTGACGTAGTCAATGTGTCTGTGGAACAATAAGCTGGCATCCAGCCAGTGGTCCCGCAGGCTGCAAGGCCAGGAACTGAGACTACAGGAGCTTTCTACGAAAGGGACTGCAGAATCCCACCGCACCGCCTAAAAATTCAGAAGTAATTGATGACTGCAGGAACATCTACTCCCAAAAACAAAGAGAGAGAGAAATGATGTCACTGGATATCAAGGAACTCTCTGCGAGGCTCTTAGCACAGCCAGAGTTTCTCAAAGGGAGATCCCAAACACTGGCATTAGAATCCTTGGGTCCGTTGAGACCTTGGGTCCGTTGAGACCTTGGGTCCTCCTTGAGACCTTCTGAATTTTAAGCTCTGGGGTTGGGTCCCCAGAATCTGCTAGAGGAGACTCCCCAGCTGGAGGGAGACTAGGGGGAGGCTAATGAGGTGCTTAGGGGGCAGTATTTAAGGAGGCGCTCACTCTCGGGGCAGACCCCGCGCTTGTACGACCGAGAGTGAGCGTGTCCTTAAGTTTTACATCCATGCCTAGCTTGCCTCACCCCATTTAAAGTGTTCGCTTACATGGCTATGCCTCATTGAGGCTGTGAGACCCTGGAGGCTAGGCATCGCCTTCTGTCTGTACTTGTGTCCCTAGAAGCTAGTGTAGACCTGCACTAAAACAGAGGCACTAGCCATACGACACTACCCACCTTCCACATGGCTAGTCAGAACTGAGATGTGTTGTAAGTATAAAATACACATGAGATTTTGAATACTTGGTATGGAGAGAAGGCAAAACCTACAGAAGAACGTAAAATGATGTTTTAGATATATTGGGTTGCATAAAACCTTATTAATAATAATATATATAATTATTTCTATTATCTATTGTATATTAAATTACTACAGCAATATTAATTTCATCTCTTTTTACTTTTCTTAATGTGGCTACTGGTTAGCTTACAATTACATACGTAATGATTACAATATTTCTATTGGATAGCACTAGTACAGAGAATTAATCATTGAAAAGATCCCCCATCCCTGAGGAAGAGCAGACAGTTCTGAGCGATGATCCAAAGTAACCACCAGAACTGGTATTAGGCTGTGTAAATCAATCAATGACAACTCACCATGTGCACCAGGAAGACTCACCCCAATAAGCTCCTTTCTGAATGCCAGCCAAACAAGAACCCTCTCATCCCAGTAACCATGACTTCCAAAACCACACTTGTTCCAGAAAAAGAGAAAGAGCCATAGTCTGCTCTGTTCAGGGAGACTAATATTAATGTGACTTTGTGCTGAATTTTGTTTGAAATATTTCAATGGTGGGCAAAACTGCTGGAGCCTCAGCGCAAATCACAGCAGGAACATGAAGCGGAACTAGCGGTCCTTAACGCTAGTGGTCACGATCTTCTTCACCAGCAAGTACACACGGGGGGAAAGCCTGTTTCACTTTAGAATGTCCTCGATGAAGCAGCGAAAATTACTCATCATACTGATCTCGACCACTGGGTACAATATCCTTTTTAATATCTAGTGATGTGAAGTGGGAACTGCACATCAAGCTTTTCTGCTTCATACAGAAGTAAGAGTTGTGAACTGAACTAGTCACTCTCTCTGTGAACTACCATTTGTTACTTGAAAGAACAACTAACACACTATGGTTATTCACACCAGGGTACCTAGCAGACTTTTTTTCACAAACGAACAAAGTGAGAATGTCACTTCAGAAGAAAACAACTTTGGTTTTTGCATTTGTTGTCAATGAAAAGATCTGAGCTTGCAAGTGAAAAGCAGAATTTTGGAAAACTTGCACTTGTCAACATGAGCTTGACAGTTTCCTAACATTTCAAGATTTTTCTGAAGAGATTAGTGGTGATATTAAAAATGTGACCATTTATTTATTTTTATATTCTTTTATTTAAATTCAATTAATTAACATACAATGTATTACTAGTTTCAGAGATATAAGTCAGTGATTCATCAGTCTCAATATAACACTCAATGCCCATTACATCACGTGCCCTCCTTAATACCCATCACCTGGTTACCCCATTCCCCCACTCCTTCAGCAACCCTCTGTTTGTTTCAAATGGTTAAAAGTCTCTTATGGTTTGTCTCCCTCTCTGATTTCGTCTTGTTTTGTATTTCGCTCCCTTCCCCTATGATCCTCCATTTTGTTTCTTAAATTCCACGAGTGAGATCATGTATTTATCTTTCTCTGACTGACCTATTTCACTCAGCATAATACCCTCTAGTTCCATCCATGTCATTGCAAATGGCAAGATTTCATTCTTTCTGATGGCTAAGTAATATTCCATTGTGTGTGTGTATACACACACACACACACACACACACACACCACATACCCCACATTTCTTTATTCATTCATCTGTCAATGGACATCTGGGTTCTTTCCATAGTTTGGCTATTGTGGACATTGCTGCTATAAACATTAGGGTGGATGTGCCCCTTCGGATCACGATGTTTGCATCCTTTGGATAAATACATACTAGTGCAATTGCTGGGTCATAGGGTAGTTCTATTTTTAACTTTTTGAGGAACCTCCATACTCTTTTCCAGAGTGGCTACACCAGCTTATATTCCCACCAACAGTGTAGGAGGGTTCCCCTTTTTCCACATCCTCGCCAACATCTGTTGTTTCCTGAGTTGTTAATTTTAGCCATTCTGACAGGTGTGAGGTGGTTATCTCATTGTGATTTTGATTTGTATTTCCTGGATGATGAGTGATGTTGAGCATTTTTTCACACATCTGTTAGCCATTTCTATGTCTTCTTTGGAGAAATGTCTGTTCATGTCTTCTGCCCATTTCTTGACTGGATTTTTTGTTTTTTGGGTGTTGAGTTTGATAAGTTCTTTATAGATTTTGGATACTAGCTCTTTATCTGATAAGACATTTGCAAATATCTTCACCCATTCTGTTGGATGTCTTTTAGATTTGTTAATTGTTTCCTTTGCTATGTAACAGCTTTTTATCTTAATGCAGTCCCAATAGTTCATTTTGCTTTTATTCTCTTGCCTTTGAAGATGCATCCAGCAAGAAGTTGCTGTGGCCGAGGTCGAAGAGGTTGCTGCTTGTGTTCTCCTTTAGGATTTTGATGGATTCCTGTCTCATATTTAGGTCTTTCATCCATTTTGAGTTTATCTTTGTATATGGTGTAAGGAAATGGTCCAGTTTCATTCTTCTGCATGTGACTGCTCAATTTTCCCAGCACCATTTGTTGAAGAGACTGTCTTTTTCCATTTGATATTCTTTCTTGCTTTGTCAAAGATTAGTTGACCATAGAGTCGAGGGTCCATTTCTTGGTTCTCTATTCTGTTCCACTGATCTATGTGTCTGTTTTTGTGTCAGTACCATACTGTCTTGATAATGAGCTTTGTAATAGAGCTTGAAGTCCGGAATTGTGATGCCACCGGCTTTGTTTTTCTTTTTCAACATTCCTCTGGCTATTCGGGGTCTTTTCTGGTTCCGTACAAATTTTAGGATTATTTGTTCCATTTCTTTGAAAAAAGTGGATGGTATTTTGATAGGGATTGCATTGAATGTGTAGATTGCTCTAGGTATCAAAGACCTTTTAACAATATTTGTTCTCCAATCCATGAGCATGGAACATTTTTCCATTTCTTTGTGTCTTCCTCAATTTCTTTCATGAGTATTCCAGTTTTCTGAGTAAGATCCTTTGCCTCTTTGGTTAGGTTTATTCCTGGGAATCTTATGGTTTGGGGTACAATTGTAAATGGGATTGACTCCTTAATTTCTCTTTCTTCTGTCTCATTGTTAGTGTATAGAAATACAGCTGATTTCTGTGCACTGATTTTATATCCTACCACTTTACTGAATTCCTGTATGAGTTCTAGCAATTTTGGGGTGGAGTCTTTTGGGTTTTCCACATAGAATATCATGTCATCTGCAAAGAGTGGAAGTTTGGCTACTTCTTTACGGATTCAGATGCATTTTATCTCTTTTTGTTGTCTGATTGCTGTGGCTAGGACTTCTAGTGCCATTTTGAACAGCAGTGGTGATAGTGGACATCCCTGCCGTGTTCCTGATCTTAGGGGAAAAGCTCTCAGTTTTTCCCCATTGAGAAGGATATTCACTATGGGTTTTTCATAGATGGCTTTTATGATATTGAGATACATACCCTCTATCCCTATACTCTGAAGAGTTTTGATCAAGAAAGGATACTGTACTTTGTCAAATGCTTTTCCTGCATCTATTGAGAGGATTATATGGTTCTTGTCCTTTCTTTTATTAATGTATTGTATCACACTGATTGATTTGAGGATGTTGAGCCAACCTTGCAGCCCAGGAATAAATACCACTTGGTCATGGTGAATAATCCTTTTAATGTACTGTTGGATCCTATTGGCTACTATTTTGGTGAGAATTTTTGCATCCATGTTCATCAGGGATATTGGTCTGTAATCCTCCTTTTTGGTGAGGTCTATGTCTGGTTTTGGGATCAAGGTAATGCTGGCCTCATAAAGTGAGTTTTCCTTCCATTTCAATTTTTGAAACAGCTTCAGAAGAAGGTATATTAATTCTTCTTTAAATGTTTGGTAGAATTCCCCTGGGAAGCCATCCAGCCCTGGACTCTTGTTTGTTGAGAGATTTTTGATTATTGCTTCAATTTCCTTGCTGGTTATGGTTCTATTCAGGTTTTCTATTTCTTCCTGGTTCAGTTGTGGTAGTTTATACATCTCTAGGAATGCATCCATTTCTTCCGGATTGTCTAATTTGCTGGCCTGTAGTTGCTCATATGCTCTTATAATTGTTCGCATTTCTTTGGTGTTGGTTGTGATCTCTCCTCTTTCATTCATGATTTTTCTTATTTGGGTCATTTCTCTTTTCTTTTTGATAAGTCTGGCCAGGGGTTTATCAATCTTATTAACTCTTTCAAAGAACCAGCTCCTAGTTTCGTTGATCTGTTCTACTGTTAACATCCCTTACTATTATTGTATTATTATCAAGAACCAGCTCCTAGTTTCATTGATCTGTTCTAGTGTTAACATCCCTTACTATTATTGTATTATTATCAATGTGTTTCTTTGATTTTGTTATTAATTGCCTTATGTAATTGGCTGCTCCCATGTTCGGGGCATAAATATTTACAATTGTTAGATCTTCTTGTTGGATAGACCCTTTAATTATGATATAGTGTCCTTCCTCATCTTTTATTACAGTCTTTAGTTTAAAATCTAATTTGTCTAATATAAGGATTGCTACCCCAGCTTTCTTTTGATGTCCATTAGCATGATAAATGGTTTTCCACCCCCTCACTTTCAATCTGGAGGTGTCCTTGGGTCTAAAATGACTCTCTAAAATGACCATTCAGATATCATATGAACAGGTCTTGCTTTTTTATCCGATCGGATACCCTGTGTCTTCTGATTAGGGCATTTAGCCCATTTACATTCAGAGTAACCATGGAAAGATATGAATTTAGTGCTACTCTATTACCTGTAAAGTCACTGTTTCTGTATATTGACTCTGTTCCTTTCTGGTCTATGTTACTTTTGGCTCTCTCTCCGCTTAAAGGATCCCCTTTAATATTTCTTACAGGGCTGGTTTAATGATCACAAAGTCTTTTAGTTTCTGTTTGTCCTGGAAGCCTTTTATCTCTCCTTCTATTTTGAATGACAGCCTTGCTGGATAAAATATTCTTGAAGGCATATTTTTCTCATTTAGCACCCAGAATATATGCCAGTCCTTTCTCGCCTGCCAGGTCTCTGTGGATAGGTCTGCTGCTAGTCTCATGTTCCTACCCTTATAGGTTATGGACCTCTTGTCCTGAGCTGCTTTCAGGATTTTTTTTGTCTCTGAGATTTGCAAGATTCACTGTTATATGTTGTTGTTGACCTATTTTTATTGATTTTGAGGGGGCTTCCCTGCACTTCCTGGACTTGAATGCCTGTTTCCTTCCCCAGATTAGGAAGTTCTCAACTATAATTTGCTCCAATATACCTTCTGCCCCCTTCTCTCTTTCCTCTTCTCCTGGGATCCCAATTATTCTAATGTTGTTTTGCTTTATGGTATTACTTACCTCTCGAATTCTCCCCACATGGTCCAGTAATTGTTAATCTCTCTTTTCCCCTGCTTCTTTATTCTCTATTATTTTGTCTTCTATATCACTAATTCTCTCTTCTGCCTCATTTATCCTAGCAGTTAGAGCCTACATTTTTTATTAAATAGCCTTTTTTATTTCAACTTAATTAGATTTTAGTTCTCTTATTTCTCCAGAAAGGGATTCTCTAGTGTCTTCTATGCTTTTTTCAAGCCAGCCAGTATAATCGTTATTTTGAACTCTAGTCCCAACATCTTACTTATTATATCCATACTGATTAGGTTCCTGGCAGTCAGTACTGCCTCTTATTCTCTCTTTTGGAGTGAGTTTTTCCATCTTGTCATTCTTGCAGAAAGTGGTCACTTTTCTATTTGTAGGATCTAGCAATTCTTCTCTTAGATCTCTGGTTGAGTCCACAGGTGCTCAGAATGATTTGATAGCTATCTAGCTGAATTCCTAAGGGACCAGACAAACTAAGGTCTCCTATTTCTCGCCATCTTGGACTCCTCACAAATGTGATCTTTTGATACTGTATAATGGACTGTGTGTCAACATCTAGAAGATTTCCATAACTTGGTGGACCAGTGTTTCCCAAAAGAACAATAACTATGTCACAAAATCATCTGTGGGTGAAAGATGCAGTCAAAGTGCAAGAAAGACCAGTGGATTTTATTTTATTAAGATTTTATTTATTTATTTGAGAGAGAGAGAGAATGAGAGAGACAGAGCATGAGAGGGGAAAGGGTCAGAGGGAGAAGCAGACTCCCTGCAAAGCAGAAAGCCCGAAGTGGGATTGGATCCCAGGACTCCAGGACCATGACCTAAGCCAAAGGCAGCCCCCCAACAAACTGAGTCACCAAGGCGCCCTAGACCAGTGGATTTTAATGTAACAGAGTACAACAGATTCACTGACATGGTTTGAGATAAATCCACATTGCAACCTATCTTTACGAAACAGCCACTTGCCAAATATCAAAGAAGAATATCCCCAATTATCTAAAAAGACTGTTAAAATGCTCCTCCCTTTTCCAACTGTACATGTACATGAACCTGGATTTCTTCATATGCTTTAAACAAAACAACATATAGCAATGTATGGAATGCAGACACAGATGTGAGCATCCAGCTGTATTCTGTTAAGCCATCCATTTGAGATTCAGGAAAGTGTAAAGCAAATGCAAAAATGGTTTTCTCTTGCTTTTTAAAGCACAGCAATTTTTCATTAAAAATATTATTTATGTTAACATGTAATGCCTTTTTACTATTATTTTAAATGAACTGATAACTATCTCTTAAACTTCTCAATTTTGATTTCTATACAGTAAATAGAGATAATATACTCTCTCTCTCTTTCAAATAAATAAATAAAATCTTTTAAAAAGGGGGAAGGCACCTGGGTGGCTCAGTCATTAAGCGTCTGCCTTCGGCTCAGGTCATGAGGGTCAAGGCTGGGATCGAGCCCCGAGTCAGGCTTCCTGCTCAGTGATCCTGCTTCTCCCTCTCTCTCTGCCTGCCACTCCCCTGCTTGTGCTCTCTCTCTCTTTCAAATAAATAAATAAATCTTTAAAAAAAAAAAAAGGGAGATAATATAGTTCACATAAATAAAAGGAGTGTTCTGTCCAAAATAAAAATTTAATCATATCATCCCCTTGATTAAAATCTTTTAAAACCCCTCTCAGTTTTCAGAATAGAAATCCAAACACCTTGCTTAAAATGGTCCATCAAATGTCTGATTTAACAGTATCTTCCAAAAACTTAATATGCAAAACTATTTTACTTCAAGAATTCTAGAAAGTTACCCCTGACACAAGAGTGCATGTCTGTGTTCAGGGATTTCACTGCAGAATTACCACAATATTGAAAATATAAATGGAATCTAAATGTGCAACAGTGGAACCTAATTAAATGTATCATGGTATATCCACAGCAAGTTGCAGAATAGCACATAGAGTAGAATCCCAATTTGTAAAAAGGTCGGTAAATATGGGTCTTTTGGGGTATGCCTAGTAAATTTCTGGGAAGACATCAAATGCCAACGAAAGCTAGTTTAGAAATTAGGAAACATTTTCTTTTAAGAGTTTTATGGTTTTGGGCGCCTGGGTGGCTCAGTTGGTTGGGCAACTGCCTTTGGCTCAGGTCATGATCCTGGAGTCCCGGGATCGAGTCCCGCATCGGGCTCCCTGCTCGGCGGGGAGCCTGCTTCTCCCTCTGACCCTCCCCCCTCTCATGTGCTCTCTCAAATAAATAAATGGAATCTTTAAAAAAAAAAAAAAGTTTTATGGTTTTGCCTTTACATTTAGCACTTTAATATATCTGAAAATTATTTTGTATGTGGCATGAGATAGGAGGCCTAATTTATTTCTAATTAAACAGCTAATTTCCATAAGATTTATGCTAAATGGCCAATCTTTCCTCACAGATTTGAAATGCTACGTTTATCCTATTAAACTCCTCATATATACATGGTACTGATATAGGAGTGCATCCTGTTCCACTAAATTTATTCTATTTCAGTGCCAGCACCAGATATCCTAAATAAGTATAGCATTATAATGTATTTTGATATTGGAAAGGTCAAATCCCCCCCCCAATTATTCTTTTTCAAAACATTTTTTGGCTGGTTTTGCATTAATATTTTTCTAGACAAACTTTAGAACCAGTGTGTTTAATTCCCAAACTATATTAAATGTATGCATTAGTTTAGGGAAACATGGTATTATTTATTTTTATTTTGTATTATTTTTTAAATTAAAATACAGATGACATACGATATTACATTAGTTTCAAGTGTACAACATAATATCTCACAACTCTATGTTATGCTATGCTCAGTACAAGCGTAGCTACCCTCTGTCATCAAACAAAGGGAAACTTGATTTTAATAAAATCGATTCTCTCCATTGAGGAATATGACATGTTTCTACTTATTCTTTTTTTTCTGTGCTTCAGGAATAAATTTCTTGTCATTCAGAGCTAAGTTTATGCCAGGTATTTCCATTTTTATTAGTATTGTAGAAAAGGTATCCTTTTTTCATTGTATTTTAAGACGGATATTGCTGGCCTTTAGGAAAGCTACTGATTTCTACATACTTAAATCTGGTCACCTTACAGAAATCAAGTATGGAACTTCACATAGCCATCATCATCTGATTTGGCTTAGGGTCCTGTGTACCAACAAAGGCCATGTGATAAAATAACATAGCTGAAAAGTGCAGTGAAATAAAACCATGCTGTTCTTAATTCACACTGCATTCAGTTCTGGATAAAGACTGCTCTGAGTGTATAAGGCACAGAGCCAGAAAGTGCAAGGGGAATGGGCTGGTGGCAATGGGAGTGCTCATCTCTATCAGCCAACCAGATTGTGTAAAAAGGACATCAAATGTTACAATTTTCCAAAGTATAAATGAAAGCAACTGGAATCAATGTTAGAAATATACATTACCTCCTCAGGAACTCCAATTCGCTTCGCTGGGATTCTCCTAAAGCAATTTCCAAATAAGTTTTTTGCCAAAGGACCATAGTTGTCAAAAGCAGTTGGGGAATAAATAACTCCCTAAGTTTGAGAATAAAAAAAGAACAAAATAAAGTACATAAAACTAAATTTTAAAATCATGAAGACATCAAGGCAGTCATTGACCAATGCCAAAAAGTAGTGGCTTAAGTTTAATTAGAAAAGTCCACATTTCGGGCGCCTGGGTGGCTCAGTTGGTTAAGCGACTGCCTTCGGCTCAGGTCATGGTCCCGGAGTCCTGGGATCGAGTCCCACATCGGGCTCCCGGCTCAGCGGGGAGCCTGCTTCTCCCTCTGACCCTCTCCCCTCTCATGCTGTTTCTTTCTCTCTCTCTCTCTCTCTCTCAAATAAATAAAATCTTTAAAAAAAAAAAGAAAGAAAAGTCAACATTTCTTTTTTTTTTTTAAAGGTTTTATTTATTTATTTGACAGAGAGAGACACAGCGAGAGAGGGAACACAAGCAGAGGGAGTGGGAGAGGGAGAAGCAGGCTTCCCGCTGAACAGGGAGCCTGATGCAGGGCTCGATCCCAGGACCCTGGGATCATGACCTGAGCTGAAGGCAGACGCTTAATGACTGAGCTACCCAGGTGCCCCGAAAAGTCAACATTTCTAATATTAATTTTTCTCAATATCCTCAACCACGATTACAAATGGATTCTCTGAATGCTCATTTTGTGACCTCTTCTCTCTTAATAGCCAGCCAAGCCCTACATTTTTCCTGAAAAGATATGTTTTCCAAAAACATAATTAAATGAATAGATCAGAGGGGCAGTTTAGTAGGAAAAGGGGGATAGGGGAGTCTATTCTATCTTCCACCAGGCTTCTCTGCTTTATGACAGAAGCCTGGGCTGTGATTCCATGAGACTTAGAAAATGAAATGTTTTCATTACAGTGAAATCACAGATAAAATATTTGAATCCAATATAAATAAACTAAAATTTTAATTGTTTGGGAATTCTTTTATTTAGCTTTTACTAGCTTTCAAGTATGTTGGCAAGATATTTTCTCTTCACTTCTAATCAATCTTTAACTTGAATTAGACCTTAGTTTTTTTCTCTCTCTCCTAATGAAGCATTAATGATACACCAAGAAATAACAAAATAATCTGGCAAATATTCATTCTCTAAAGCAGTGGTTCTCAATCTTCACTATGCATTTGAATTTCCTGGGTGGCTTTTTAAAAAATAGCAACACCTAGACTCCATAGTTTGGAGTCAAGCTTACATATCAATATTTTTTAAACATTTCATCGATAATTCTAATATATTGTCAAGATTGAGAATCATTGGCTTAATGTAACCTTCTTGACAATCTAGTTGTAAATCAAAGCATACTTCTTTCCAATTTTATCTATTTTTAAAAGCCAATCTTTTTTAGTATGCATGCATATTAACAAATACCTCCATCGACAATACAAATGGAATCAGAAAAGCACAATTTGTCAACAGCTTTCATACGAAACAGTTACCTACAGGGGCAACACAGTTGATCCTTATTCCACTGCTGGCCCATTCCACAGCTAAGGATTTGGTGAGGTTGTAAACCCCTGCTCTGGCAGCTCCACTATGCCTTTAAACGACAAAACATAAAAATTATAATCAGCTTCCACTGAATGTTTCTCTCGTTAACTAAACTGACAGGTATGTCAGTGACCTGTCAGACCCCCACAGACATACTCTTGTTGAGTCTGTCTTTTGGAGTCCTTGTCTGAACAGTGGGAAAGAAGTGGGTCCTTCAATGTTAAAGCCAAAACACAGCTATCTGAGAGTCAAACAAATCTTATGTTACAGGCACACGTAAGATCCTCCAAAACACCATGACCATAAGAGAAATATTTTGAAGATCTTTTATTATGTAGAAAAAGTAAGAAGTTGGTAATTTTGAGGGTTACAAGTGTGGTTATTTTTTAAATCAATTTTAGATGATAAGGGATAAGAATTTCATATATTGGGCTAAAAATAGTATCAATAGAATTTCTAGACACACCAAAGTTGAAGTAAATTTTAATACATTTCCAGATAGGAAGTTCAAAATAGTTAGGTCTGCATCTAGAGGGGGTCTTATGCACAAGGTGCAGATACACTGTGGCTTAGAATTTCTAATTATAAGGTCCTTGGCACCAAGTATGTGAGATCTGGGGTCATATCCACTTCTCACTAGAGAAGACCTACAGAGCCCAACCTTCTTGAAGAAAAACCATCTCTGTCCTAGTGTTGGCTGCAGCAACCCTGGTGAGACTCCAGGCAGAAGCCAACTATTTTGTCAGAATTACCCAAGTAACCCCATCACCATCAGATGTGGCCACAACTTCTGTTGCTACTGCATCCAGCAGTCCTGGGTTATCTACAGGACACGTTCCCTTGCCCTGCCTACCACCACCAATGCTAAGAGGGGCCCCAAAGCAACACTCAGCTGGGAAGGATAATGGAAATTGCCAGGCTTCTCCACAACACGAGGAGCAAGAGGAAGGGGCAGGAACAGACATGCTTATGTAGAAGCGCAATCAAGCCCTGACCCTTTTCTGTGAGGAGGACCTAGAGGTATTTGTCCCCTTGCACTCAGCGCCCTGATCACCAGGGCCATCACATGAGGTCCTGCCTCTCATCATAGGAAAAGGCTCAGCAGTTATGTTGAGCCCCTGAAGAAGCAAGTGGCAGACGTTCAGAAACTGGTAATCGCCCAAGAGAGAAAGCCACTAGAACTGAGAGACAGAAGTGGAAAACCAGAGACAGAAATTACTGAATTTCAGCATCTGAACCAGTTTGTTGAACATGAGCAAGAGGCAGATGAAGGGCAACAGAATATGCCACTCCAAAATATGATGGTAGGAGCTCAGGACATGCCACCCAAAATATGCTGTTTTGATATATTATTTTGAGCTATAGGCACTTGAAAAATAGCAAATGCAGGGAGAAGCTTTCTCTGAACTCCTTTATCTCCCTAAAGATAGAATGGGTTCCACCAAAAGGAACTCAATTGCCATAAATCCCCTCCCCAAGGGTTTCATCTATCAGGGAAGATTGCCTCTGGTCACAATATAAAGACTAGAAGTCGACACCACAACCCAGACACACTCTGTCACAAACTACCATACCTCCCATCTATTCTTCCAAGGGACCCATGCATCTTTCCTAAACATCACTTACTCTCCTCTACGAGGCCTCCATCTTCCCTCCCCTTTCCTTACTAAGATAGTGGTTCAGTCTGAGTTCTAAGCCACTCAAGGAAGCTACTCATCTTCCCCTGGGTATTTCCCATATATACATGATGTATACATATGAATAAAGTTGTTTGTTATGGTCTTGTTAATTTGTCTTTTATTACAAGGATCTCAACTAAGAACTCAGAAGGGTAGAGGGAAAATTCTTTTTCCTCCCCTACATAGTTTTCTCAAGCTTCACAGTTGAAGAGAAGGACATTCAGTAGAAACTTAACGCAAACATAACAGCATGTTCAGACTACATTTCCATACTCAAAGATCTACCAGAGAAGGTGACAGAGAAGGGTGTGATGTCAGAAGTGAAATTGCTAGTGGAGGTCAAGAGCATCTGCAACAGGTGTGAGAGCCTGAGGCCCCCGCTCTCCATCCTTTCCAGTTAAGGAAAGAAGGATGCGGTCTTCCTCCATGGTATTCAGCTCTGCAGAAAGTTATACGAGAACTGAAAGAAGTTCCTCTGGATCCCAAAACAGCACATCCTAACCAGCTTATCCCTGAGGATAAAAAACAACAATAACAACAACTATAATAACCCCCCCCCAAAAAACAAAAAAACTGTGACATTTGTGAAGAAAAAAGCAAAGAGTTCACCCAAATCCACAGAGACTTACAGCTTATCCAGTACTTTGTTCTGAAGGTCCTAGGAGGTCCAGGTGGATGAGAAGCCTGAATGGACCATCGTGGTTTGTAAAGACTCCCTTTCCAGGAAGTGAAAGTGGGGAACAGAATAGATGCTAGACAATCCAGCTTTGGAGTGATGACTAGGTCACATGAAGTGCTGTCCCAGTCACTCTTCTTCTAAAGGAAAAGCCCAGAGGAACTGACACTTATTTGAACTATGAGTTGACTGAGATTATATGTTACCATTTCCATGACAGGTCTCACATTTGTTCTTTCAATGACCAATTTCCTGAAGTACTAAGGCCTTATTTCTGTATCAGACGTGATTTAAAATCTCTTACAATCTGTTCAGGAACAGATGAGTAATGAGTGATAAACTGTCTTGAAGGCTGTCCCATTGCTTCATTTTCTTCCTCTAATTTATAAACAGGAGGCAGAAGGATGCACAACTCTTCGGTGAATATAGCACTAACCAATGTTTTTAATGCTTCTACAACTTAAACACATAAAATCATACAATATACGCTCTTATTCATCAGGCCTCTTTCACTTAGAATAATTATTTTGAGATTCATCCATGTTGTTGCATGAGTTAATAACTCATTACATCTTATTTCCAAGTAGTAGTCTGTTATATAGATATACCACAGTGTGTTTAGTCATTCACCTACTGATGGCATTTGAGTTACAAACTGTCTGTCCATGGGAGACGTGAGTTGCTTTTTTGACCTATCTTTTGCCCTCATAATTATTTTTTTTTTTAAGATTTTATTTATTTATTTGACAGAGACATAGAGAGCGAGCACAGATAGGCAGAGCAGCAGGCAGAGGGAGAGGGAGAAGCAGGCTCTCCACTGAGCAGGGAGCCCAATGCAGGGCTCGATCCCAAGACCCTGGGATGGTGACCTGAGCCCAAGGCAGACGCTTAACTGAATGAGCCACCCAGATGCCCCTGCCCTCATAATTATTGACGATGACCCAAAAGATCAGCAGCTCAGACCAAACTCCCCTGCATAGATGTAATGGAAAACAGACTAGCCTCAGAAAATATTAAGAAAAAACGTGCCAAGACAGCAATACGACTCAAACATACACACAAGATATCCAGATAGCCTTTCAACAAATCAAAAGATGCTCCACTGAGAATACCATTTCTTGACCATCTGAGTTGTCCAGAAGTTGACAACACATATTTTGGATCAGGTTCTGGGGAACAGGTACTCTCATACTTTGCTGGTTGGAAAATACCTAAAAGTATGCATTTACCCTTCACCTTCACCCAGCAATCCAACTTCCAGGATCTACCCTGCAGATATAACTCCACAAATATGAAACAAATATGTACAGTGTTATTCACTGCAGAATTATTTGTAATGCAAAATGTAGAAACAATACAAATTTCTATTAAGTTTGAGCTATTACATGTGTTTGAAAAGAGGAATTTGAAATCTGTAAGTCCATAATAGTGGTATACCAAAAAATTTAATAATAATAATGATAATAATAAATATATAGAGAAAGAAGGAATGGCTGTTGCAGAGAAGTCTTTTTATGGAATATCAGCTAATAAATACAGAAGCAATTATGAAACCAGAAAAATCAACATCTTCTCACCCTAATGTAGTAAGTGATTCAGGTAAGAATCAACAATGTTTGCAAAAATCACAATGACAAATAAGATATTCATGCAGTGCCAAAATATCACCCTGCAGATTACAGATTACATATTACTAATAAAGGAATTCAGGTCACTGTCTTACTTGGTTAACAGGTTATCTCTGGGATGAGAAGGTATAGAGCACTCGACTTTGTACCTTATGCAGTTTCATATATATGTAAAAACTAGCATGCTTTGTTTTTATAATGCTCAAGATAGGTCTAGTTCATAAGAAGAAATATTCTATGTTGGAAAATTTAAAAAAATTTTTAATTAACAAAAAAGGAAGGAATCAGAACTTATAAAAGATATGAAAGAAATCAGCAAAATGAATTTTTTGTAAATCAGACTTTTTAACAGCTAAACGTGCGGTTTTCAAGTAGCTTCCTGGCACACTGTTTTTCTCTTTGTTCTATGTGGATGCCCATTTAGATTATTATGAAAGAATCTACTGAACCAGTAGGCTCAATTAGTTCACTGATTGACTTTTTTTTAAATCTATTTCCAACATAAAAATTTACCAAAATCAGAATAAGAGTCAAATACGTCAAACTCCGTTATGGAGTAACAATTTAGCAGTTCTGTCTAAAATTGAAGAGGTATATTCACAGTATTCAAATCTAAAGTAATCTAAATTCGTTGCATTTCCACACGTTAACAAAAAAGCTCTCTCCAGACAATGATGACCAGTTTAGTGACATCTGGATTAGGGTTACTGGATAAAATATAGGACATTCAGTTAAATTTGAATTTCAGATAAACAATAAAAAAACTTTAGCATAAATATGCCCCATGCGATATTTGGGACAGACTTATAATAAAAAATTAATAGGGCCTCCTGTTTTATTTTCTTGGTAAATCTGGAAAGCCTAATATGCATGGTAATGTTTTAGAAGTACATTTTTAAAGTTAAAATAAAGGGCAATGCTAAATATTGAGATCGAAACTCATTACAGGATTAAGGACTGTGACTTATGAGATTTTCTCCACCCTACTCCCCCTATTCAGAGGACAAACCCAAAGACATAGGAAAAAAATACATATACATTAAGTATGCTTACACAAATCCTGGAAATCCATTTCTAGTAAGGATAATAATATTGACAATAGATCCTCCATGCTCTTTCATCCAGGAGTTGTAAACTGTAGGAAACAGACCAATGACAATCATATGAAATAGTGTCCTCTCTTCTCATCCACTGTCCCAGCATCTTGCTTGCTATTTAAAAATTTTTAATTTACATTTCCTTTTTATAAAAAGCCTGATTAAATATAATTGACATATCATGAAACTCATCCACTTTATGTGTACAATTTAATGATTTTTAATAAATATACAGTTATGCAACCACTATCACAATCCAGTTTTAGAATACTCCATCACCCCCAAAATGTTCCTTTGTGCCCATCTGCAGCCCAAGCCATCCCCATGCAAACCCTCATCTACTTTCCGTTTATATAAATTTGCCTTTTCTGAACATTTCATATAAATGAAATCACACAATATGTGGTCTTTTGTGTCTGGCTTCTTTTACTTAGAATAATGTTTGTGAGGTTCATCCATGTGGTAACATGTATCAATAGTTAACTTTTTATTGCCGAATAGTATTACAGTGAATAGATATGCCATATTTCATTTATCTATTAACCAGCAGATGAACGTTTGGATTGTTTCCACTGGTGGGTGATTATGAATACAAACTGTTGTGTGGACATATTTTTTTTTTTTTAGATATTTATTTATTTGAGAGAGACAGAGTGAGAGAGAGAGAGAGAGAACAAGCTCACGAGCAGGGGAGAGGGTCAAAAGAGAGTGAGAAGCAGACTCCCAGGGAGCCCGACACAGGGCTCAATCCCAGGACCCTGGGATCATGACCTGAGCTGAAGTCAGACACTTAACTGACCCAGGCACCCCTGGACATATGTTTTTATTTCTCTTGGGTAGATGCTTAGGGATAGAACTGCTGGGTTATATGGCAATTGTATGTTTAACTTTTTAAGAAACTGCCAAACTATTTTCCGGTGTCTCCACTATTTTACATTTCTACCAGAAAAGCATGAGGGTTCCAGTTTCTCCATACTATTATTGCCCGACTTTTTTATTATAGCCATTCTAGTGGGTATGAAGTGATATTTCACTGAGGTTTTGATATGCATGTCCCGAATGACGAATGTCTAATGGTGCTGAGAATCTTCTGATGTACTTATTAGCCACTCATATGTCTTCTTTGGTAAAATATCTATTCAAATCTTTTGCCCATTTTTTAATTGGTTTGTTTTCTTAATATTGAATTATAAGAGTTCTTTTTATATTCTGGATACAATTCTTTTATCAGATATGTGATTTCTCCCAGTCTATGGCTTATCTTTTCATTTTCTTAATGTTGTCTTTTGAAGTGTTGTCTTTGAAGTATTTCATTTTGATGAAGTCACGTTTACCATTTTCTTTACTTTGTGCCTGGTATGATGGATGGTGTATCTCAGGACTCTTTCCTGAAGCCAAGGTCATAAAGATTTTGTCCTTTATTTGCTTCTAAAAGTTATACAATTTTACTTTTTGCATGTGGATATCCAATTGTACCTGCACCATCTGCTGAAAACACTATCATTTCCCCATAGAACTGCCTTGGCCCCTTTGGCAAAAATCATAAATGTAAGGGTTTGACCCAACTGTAAGGGTTTATTTCTGGACTCTCAAATTTGTCCAAAAGATCTATACAACTATCCTTCTGCCAGTACCACGATGTCTTGAAATCAAGAAGTATAAGTCCTCCAACTTTCCTGTTTTGCCAAACTGTTTTGGCTATGCTGAGTCCTTTGCACTTCCAGATGTATTTTAGGATCTGCTGGTCAATTTTTGCAAAAATAACAGGGACTGCATTGAACCTACATTATCAATTTGGGAAGAACTACCATCTTAACCATATCGAGTCTTCCAATTCATAAACACTGAATGTTTTTCCATTTAGTTTTTGATCTTCTTTCATTTCTGTCAGCAATATTTTGTAGTTTTTAGATACAAGTCTTATCCTTCTTTTGTTAACTTAATTCTTTAAGTATTTTCTTTTCAATTCTTTTTTCTCTACGGGGAGAGAACAGGAGTGGGGGTGGGGGGTGGGGTGGGCAGAGGGGCAGAGGGAGAGGGAGAGAGACTCTTGAGCAGGTTCCACACCCTGCGCAGAACCCTACACAGGACTCGATCTCATGAGAGCTCATTACCTGAGCCGAAATAAAGAGTCAGATGCTCAACTGACTAAGCCACCCCAGCTGTCCCTCATTCTTTAAGTATTTTATCCTTTTCGAAGCCCAATTGATATTTAGCCATCAACTCTATTCATACAAATCAAGACAATGTCAGATATGTACCCTCAAGACTCATTTCAATAGAAATCTAATTTTTAGAATGTAAAGGCCAGAGAACAATGCAAGACCTATTCCTATTAAAACCTTAGACAAAAATAAGAACGTGTTCCCAGTATTACTTAATGCTTTCCAGTGCTTTCCAGTGAATTTCTTACCAGTGCTTTCCAGTGAATTTCTTACCAATTCATAATATATAACAGAAAAAGGAGGTAAAGCCACTAGAAAAGAAGACATAAAATATAGTATTTTGGGGCTCTAAGACAATTCTTTCATATTATTTTCACATTTCACATGAAACTGGGATATGTTTTGCAGTTGGTGGCTTCTTAAGATACAAATAACACTGTTTGTACTTTCTTAGTAGTATATAAAATGATGGTGCATTTCACCAAAGATACATTGACTGTATCTTTGACTCAATGAAATACATTATTTATTTTTAGACAACATGATTGTATAGCTAAAACACTTGAAAGACTAATTTCAAAAACTGTTAGATAAAGATACAAATTACTAGATAAAGCTACAAGATCAACTTGAAAAAATAATTCTTTCATAAACCAACAATAATCCAGCTGAAAATAATTGGGGACAGAGCCCATTTAAAAAAGCGGGAGTCAGGGTGCCTGGGTAGCTCAGTCAGTTAAGCATCTGCCTACAGCTCAGGTCATGATCCCAGGGTCCTGGGATCAAGCCCCACATCAGGTTCCCTGCTCAGCGGGGAGTCTGCTTCTCCCTCTCCTTCTGCCCCTCCCCCTGCTCGTGCTCTTTCTTTCTCAAATAAACAAACAAAATCTTAAAAAAAAAATAGAAGGAGTCATCCAAAATATCTAGGTATAACCTTAGTAAAAAAAATATGAGAGGGGCTCCTGGGTGGCTCAGTCAGTTAAGCATCTGACTCTTGATTTTGGCTCAGGTCTTTATCTCAGGGTCATGAGTTCAAGCCCTGTGTTGGGCTCCATGACCAGCATGGAGCCTACTTAAAAAAAAAAAAAAAGATTTACATGATGAAAACCACAGACCTTTGCCAAAAAATATAAAATAAGAATCCATTAATAGAAAGATGTGCCATGGTGCAGAGATAATATTTCAACATATTGTCAAATTATTGATAGGTTCAACACAATTCCAATCAAATTCTCCACCAGCATTTTTGAGGGAAAAACCTAAATATAAAATTCATCTGAAAGAATAAAAGGTCATGGGGCACCTGGATGACTCAGTTGGTTAAGCAACTGCCTTCAGCTCAGGTCATGATCCTGGAGTCCCTGGATCGAGTCCCGTATCGGGCTCCCTGCTCGGCAGGGAGTCTGCTTCTCCCTCTGACCCTCCCCCCTGTCATGTGCTCTCTCTCATTCTCTCTCTCTCAAATAAATAAATAAAATCTTTAAAAAAAATAATAATAATAAAAGGTCATGAATAGCCCAGAAAAGTTTGGAAATGAAAATAAATAACTATGTGCCATATCAAATATCTAAAAAAGAAAAACCTATAAAAAAAGAAAAAGAAGTAAGTTTATTTAAATTACCCTACACAGACTTTCTGCTTCTGGTTAAATAGTACTCTATGTTAGAACTCTGAAATCAGGGGTGCCTGGGTGGCTCAGTCGTTAAGCATCTGCCTTCAGCTCAGGTCATGATCCCAGGGTCCTGGGATCGAGCCCCACATCGGGCTCCCTGCTCATTGGGAAGCCTGCTTCTCCCTCTCCCACTCCCCTTGCTTGCGTTCTCTCTCTTGCTGTGTCTCTCTCTGTCAAATAAATAAATAAAATCTTAAAAAAAAAAAAAAAAGAACTCTGAAGTCATCTTTGTGTTTTTCCCCTGACACTTCCAGGGCTATCATGGGAATATTTCTTCAAGATATGTGAGGTCGTCTCAGATGCCAATCACAAGTCCAGCTTGTTACCTGTGCTTCTGACCAACGGGCTATAAATCAGAGGTTCCCATGAACCTTTCCTTGGATTTGCTTAATTTGCTATTGTGGCTCATAGAACTCAAGAAACTAGATTCCTCACTAGATTACAGTTTGTTATAAAAGATGTTAGGGGAGCGGCACCTGGGTGGCTCAGTCGGCTGGGCGTCTGCCTTCAGCTCAGGTCATGATCCTACAGTCCTGGGATCGAGCCCCACATTGGGCTCCCTGCTCGGCGGGAAGCCTGCTTCTCCCTCTCCCACTCCCCCTGCTTGTGTTCCCTCTCTCACTGTGTCTCTCTCTGTCAAATAAATAAAATCTTAAAAAAAAAAAAGATGTTAGGGGATATGAATCAATACACTGGGCAATGTCCTGAACAAAGAAGCTTCTGCCTCTGTGGAGCTTGAGACTTGGCAGGGTGTCACGTGAAAGTGTTCTGATTTACCAACCCTGTCCTTTTATGTTTTTATGGAGGCCTCAGTATGTAGTCCTGACTGATTAAATCACTGGCACCAGTGACTGAGTCAACTTTTAGCCCACTCTCCCTTGCCCAGAAATCAGTAGGTAAGACTGAGGTCCAACTCTCACCAAGGTTGGTTCCCTACCAACTAGCCCATACCCATCTTTACAGGATTTCCAAAAGTCACCTCATTAACATAAACTCAGTTAGGGGCACCTGGGTGGCTCAGTTGGTTAAGCGACTGCCTTCAGCTCAGGTCATGATCCCAGGGTCCTGGGATCGAGTCCCGCATCGGGCTCCCCCTGCTCTGCGGGGAGCCTGCTTCTCCCTCTGCCTCTGCCTGCCACTCACCCTGCTTGTGCTCTCTCTCTCTGTCAAATAAATAAATAAAATCTTTAAAAAAAAAAAACAAAACATAAACTCAGTTGTGGTTGAACAGGACTTGTTATGAATAACAGACACCCATTTCACCTGTGTGGCCCTGAAGCCTTTTCAGGAATTAAGACAAGAGACCAAATATTATAACAAAAGATTCTCCCATTGCTCTTATTGCTCAAGAAATTCCAAGAGCCTTGGGAACTATGAACCAGGAACCAGAGACAGACCAAAATATATACTCATTACAAATCACAACATCACAGTCCTTAATGATTATGGAACTACCACGTTATCTCTATCTACCTGGACTTTTTATGTCAGGGAAAAACAAACTATGTTATTTAAGTTCCTGTGGGTTTTTTTTTTTTAAGATTTTATTTATTTATTTATTTGAGAGAGAGAGAATGAGAGAGAGCACATGACAGGGGGGAGGGTCAGAGGGAGAAGCAGACTCCCTGCCGAGCAGGGAGCCCGATACGGGACTCGATCCCGGGACTCCAGGATCATGACCTGAGCCGAAGGCAGTCGCTTAACCAACTGAGCCACCCAGGCGCCCTTAAGTTCCTGTTTTTGCAATCGTCTCTACACTGAAACAGCCAGCCACAATGAATATAAAGCTTTATACTACTAGTTAAATAAAGTTGAAAGCTGGGAATGTCTGCAAGATTTTGACTTAAGAGATATTAAGAATATAAAGCCTAATCCATATTAGGGTGAAGACCCTTTGGGTTGGAATTACACTCATTCTGTGGTTTTCATCATAAAAATGTCTTTGATAGTTTTTAACAAAAACCTTGAGTTACTCAACCTCAGGAGTTGAATATGACCACCTATGAAATATAACTTTCAATCCAATGATATGCATGCATGCTAATTAGTTGTTAGTCAGAAAGAATGTGGACTCTGTCTGGCATTCTCCCTGAAGATTTGACAAGTTAATGAAAAGGGCCTTACAACAGATTTAACAGATTCATTTCTTTAAAACTAAGTGTGAGAGTTTTTTTTTTTAATTTCAGGAACAACTTTGTAGCTGTATCTTTGTACAGATTCATAATAATTTTCTCATGATAAATTCCTAGAAATAAAATTATAAGATCAAACCATACCCATATTTTACAAATATTGTCAAATTAGTATCCAGAAATGCAACAATTTACATTTCTGTGTTGTATGCAAGTAAATCAGGGTAGTAAATGCTGCTAACATGGAGTTTCTGAGCCCCTAACAATTCTCTTTGAAGATTCTCTATGATCTAGGGGCGCCTAGGTGGCTCAGTCGGTTAAGCCTCTGCTTCCGCCTCAGGTCATGATCTCAGGGTCCTGAGATGGAGTCTGGCATCAGGCTCCCTACTCAGTGGGGAGCCTGCTTCTCCCTTTCCCACTCCCCCTGCTTATGTGGTCTCTCTCTCTCTTTGTCAAATAAATAAAATCTTTAAAGAAAAAAAAGATTCTCTATGATCTTTAAATAAAGAATCTTGACTTTTTGGGTTATTGATCATACTCGCCTGCTTTGCACATATAGAAGGTGCCTGTCAGGTTGGTCTCAATCACAGCATGCCATCCCTTTGCACTAATGTGTTCTGCAGGAGATATGAACTGGCCTCCTCCGTTGTTTACCAAAAAATTGATCTTACCATAAATATCTAAGGTGGATTTGACCAAATTGTTCACCTAAAGAAAAATGTTAAAAGTAAACTGGTTAATAACCTAACTTGCTACTTGGACTGACAGCTTACTATAGGAGAAGAAAGAACTTGCAGTCTGTCACAGTAAATGGTATCAGTAACAGTAACTGAAATCAGGTTAAAATTAACACTAAGAAATGACTTAAAAGGGGCACCTGTCTGGTTCAGTTGGTACAGCATGTGACTCTTGATCTTGGGGTTGCGAGTTCGAGCCCCATATTGAGTGTACAGATGACTGACTACTTAAAAATAAAATATTTAAAAAAAAAGAGAGAAAAGAAATGACTTGAAGGGGGAAAGGCACAAAAAGTAATCTCGCTGAGACCACATCCTTGCTTAGCTTCCTTGTTTCTTTCCGTCCCCTCCCCCAGGAGGTAATACACTCAATAAATCATTAGCAAAAGAATTTCTTTTACAGGATCTGCTTCTAGTTTACCTCATCCAAGACAGCCACCATAGGAACATCTGAAGCACAGGTTTAGGTACCACTCAAATAAAATGAATGAATAAATGATACAGACATTTTTGCATTACCTCCTCTTCTTTGCGGATGTTGCATTTTATGGGAGTGACCTGAGCCTGGTTGGTGGGGGGCAGGCTGGCCTTCAGTTCATCTGCAACAGATTTTAATCTATCAAAGTTACGAGATGCAATCACCACATTACACCCTGAAAAGAAAACAGTCCAAGAATAAGTAAATATGCTTTCACTGGTTGTCCAAATTAAAAAAAAAAAAAAGGTCAGGAAGTGTTTCATGTGTACCCATAAAAAAGATGAAGCAGGACTTCTGCCTCTGGTTAAGATGGACCATCAATAACTGAGTTTACCCTCCAGGCAAAAACAACTAAAAAACTGGTCAAAGTATAATGCAGGATGGTTTTCAGGCACTGGACATGGCATAGCATGGCACAGCGATCTCAGAGAATGGAGACAAACAACATGAGCCCTGTGATCATTCCAGCACAGGGAGGAGGAGGAGGAACCCTTTCCCACCCCCAGGAAGAGATGAAGTTGGGAGTCCAGGGAGGCCAAGATAGCACTGGAAATAGTATTCCAACCAGGCAAAACCTTGTTTGAAGGGGCACTGGGTAAAATACTCTGAAGGGTATGGCCTCAGTAGTGAAGCAAAATTAGCCCTAGACGAAAGGCCATTCAGGTCAACATTTAACATATAAAGTATCAAACTGCTTCAAGTTACTTAAGAACAGAAGTAACAACCTCTGTGATGCAATTAACACAGAACAAAGCTCAAGAATATTTAAATGAATATAAAAATAACCAGCGTTCTACAAGGTAAAATTCAAATGTCTAGCACTCATGTAAAGGAGCAGGTAAATACAACCCATAATGAGCAGAAAAGTCAGAACCAGAAATGGCAATGATGATATAATTAAATAAACGAGCGATAAAGAGAAAAATATTAAGTCTTCCCGCGTATCCTCATTAGGTAATACACATAGGATGGATTCATTTTAAACACAACTAGAAAGAATTCCATAGCATGTTTCCACAGGTCTCCTTGCTCCCTACCTCGAGCACGTTATCTTTGATTCTAAGTCTTCCCTTTAGTTTACAAACAGTGGTTTCGTCTTTCAACGCGTCTCCAGCATTTCTCAGAAAGAACGCTTCCTTTTCCCCCGCGGTTTCAGTGTCGCCCATACGTACAGAATCTTGGCTTGGCAAGTCCACGTCTCCCAGCCCTGCCTAATGCCTCCCGGGTCCCGACCCCACGTCACACCAGTGTGTGTCTCTGCGGACCCCTGGATCCAGGTAGCCTGACCCAGGGGGGCTGCTCACGTACCCAGCTGCAGGAGCTCTGTCGCGATGGCTTTTCCGATACCCGTGGCCCCGCCAGTGACGATGGCCAGTTTGTCCTGCAGCAAGCCGGGCGCCAGAAAGCTCTTCCACTCGCCGTGAGTGTCCATGTCGGACGAGGGCCTGAGTCCCGGAAGCGCAGCGGTCACTGAGACTCGGCGGCCTGCGGGGTGCGCGGGGCCAAGGACCTGCCCACGTGACCGCCGGGGCCCCGCCCCGCCCCGCCCCGCCCCGTCGCCCCGCCCCGCCTCGCCTCTCCTCTCCCCGTCGCCCCGCCCCGTCGCCCCGCCCCGTCGCCCCGCCCCGCCTCGCCTCTCCCCGTCGCCCCGCCCCGTCGCCCCGCCCCGTCGCCCCGCCCCGCCTCGCCTCTCCCCGTCGCCCCGCCCTCCCGCCGCGGCAGGTCCCCATCCTCCCAGAGACGGCTGCTCCCCGGCGGCGGCTGCTTGGCTCGGTCTGGGTCCTCTGCCAGACTTTGTCCCCGGCATGTGTAGGTGAGATCCCTTGTTCGTTGGGGTTTTGTTTTTGTTTTTAAATTTCGAGGCCATTGTGGGGACCGGAGGAAGGGAAGCAGACAAAAAGCGGGCGCGTGCTCGATTTCCAAAAATTCTCAGTGCTATAAGCGCTCATGGTTAATTAAGATGAATTCTCCGGGGCATCTGGGGAAAGAGAGGCTGCGCTCGGGAGCCGTGCTGCGCCCGCCCGCCGCCTCGGACGTCGGGAGATGCGCTGGCTGCAGTTGCGGTGCGCCTCTGGCTGGGAAGGAAAGGGGCAGGCTTAGCTGAGGGGGAAGAAACCTGGCCTCCAGATCCTTTCCGCCCCTGGAAGGGACGCTGCGCGCTAAGGTGGGGGGGGTGTGGGGGTGTGGGAGGGGTAGGGTGGAGGAGGGGGGGATGCAGCTGCAGTTATCCACAGAACCAAGATAATAAATGATTTTAAAAATAAACTCGAGCCCACTTCCACCTCGTCTCCTTTTCCCCACCCAGGAATGAAGGGAAGAGGTAACCTTTACCAGATTTAAGATCTAATCCATTTCAACCGGGCTGCATAAACTGATGAATCCAAGGGTGTGTGTTTCCTGCAAGAACGCTAATGTAGGTGTGTGAGATCCTATCTTCTAGTTCATTCCTTATGCAGGGAAGCAAGCATTCGGGGGGGGGGGGGATTTTTCATCCGCAGTTTGATGCCCAGTAGCGGTGAGTTATTCAGATTCTCCTCGGTATTGTTCATCTAGCTTCATACTGTCAACCCACCAGAGAGAGCTTACACCTGGACTGGCCTAGGGAGACTTGGCCTAAGAATTTGGCAGATCTAGGGAATGTGGGTGGTGCTGTGGTCTTAACAATCCAGGGAAGATGCTATTTCTGTCTGCTGTCAGAGTACTGTATTTTCCCCTACAAGGTATTAAAATGATGTAAAAGCAAATAAATACCTTCATTCTTTTCTTGGGCCCACCCACCAGCTAGTTATTCACAAAGTGAATTAGAAATGGGTCTTGTTAAAAGTGGAATCAGACATCACCTCCTCTCTGATATTCCATCACCTTACCCTTCTCTGACCTCCTTTAAGAAATACTTGCCTTGGGGCACCTGGGTGGCTCAATCCGTTAAGCATCTGACTCTTTATTTCGGCTCAGGTCATGATCTCAGGGTTGTGGGCACGGAGCCTGCTTGTGGTTCTTTCTTTCCCTCTCCCCCTAACCGCCCCCCACCCTCCTGTGCTTTTTTCTCTCTCTAAAAAAAAAAAAGGAAAGAAAGAAAGAAAGAAAACTTGTCCTTCTATTTTTGTTGATGACAGATTCCAATCTATACTCATTAAAGAAAGGAAGACATCTCTTCCACCTTCTGCTTCCCATTTACTAGATAGAGCTTTGAGTCCAGTGACAAAGTATTTTTTTTAACAGGATGAGAAATAGTGACTGAGTTCTAAGGGCTTTCTTATTCCAGAAAATTCCATGCTTTCTTTCTTGAGAGCAAAGAACATTCTAAGTTTCTTTTAAAGATACCTTTATCGGGGCGCCTGGGTGGCTCAGATGGTTGAGCGTCTGCCTTCGGCTCAGGTCATGATCTCAGGGTCCTGGGATCGAGTCCCGCATCGGGCTCCCTGCTCCTTGGGAGCCTGCTTCTCCCTCTGCCTTTCTCTCTCCCTCTGTCTCTCATGAATAAAAATAAAATAAAATAAAATAAAATAAAATAAAGATACCGTTATCAAAGATAAAATTTAATGTGGCTGTGATCTGGTCTAGACCTGTGGATTCACAGAGCTCTGCCAGGGTGGGTTAGTGTGGGCCTGGTTCTACTGTAGCCTTTGTATGGCAGCTGAGGGGACTGAGGGATTCTGCAGTCCTCCAGTGAAAAGGTGACTGGACTGGCTTTAAGCCGGTTTTGCCTGCTGAGGATGACAAGGAGCCATTCCTTGGCTGCAAGGAAGTTGCAGTCTGAACAGTCAGCAAGGCTCTTTCTCATAGTCCAGAGAGAGTCTGTGATTCAGATAGATGTTGGGGTCTCTTTGAGAGATCTGTTAAAATGAAAAGGCATGTGCTGTTTGCCCCGTCTCTCTCGCCTCAGTCAGGGTTTGAAAGTCTGCTAACCCCAAAAGGCCTAGAGGTACAGCAACAGAGGCTCCTTGTTTCTAGATTTTAATTCTGGTTCCTGGTTGAGTCATCACTTCACGAGGCATCCATGCCACGCTACGCTGATGTTCCTTTGGCCGAATCAAATGCTACCCTGCACTCTGCATCACTGCCCCCTTTGTCCCAGGGAAAAAGGCATCTCCTGGGCCATGATCCTTCCACACTCCCACTCTGTCATACTCTATTAGCACAGACTCCCTTCATCTTCTGGGATGCTCTTGCTGCTCACCCAGCTTCCCACCCCTCCCCCATCCCATCTGCCTGGTAACTTCATTTTCTTCCTGCCTCAAAACAGCTGCTGGCTCATACTGACAGGGGCCTGTGAGATTCTCAACATTCAGCCTCACTGAATCTTGGTGCTAGAAGAATGTCAATGAGGCATGTAGCCACCCCCCACACCCCCACCTTGAAGTAAGAGCAGTTTGGAACTGAGCCAGCTCACATAAACAATTCCATACCACATGCCAGGTACTGTTCAAGGCGTGGAGGATACAGTACAGTGGACAGTACAGTTAGCTGTCCTTGCCTTTTTTTTTTAAGATTTTATTTATTTATTCAAGAGAGAGCGCGCGCGCGTGCGAGCATGAACGGGGGAGAGGCAGAGAGAGAGAGAAACGGAGAAGCAGACTGTGGAGCAGGGAGCCCAACGCGGAGCTCCATCCCAGGCCCCTGTGATCATGACCTGAGCTGAAGGCAGACGCTGAACTGACTGAGTCACCCAGGCGCCCCTGTCCTTGCTTTGTAGAGTTTTTATTCTAGCATGTAGGTATGATGGGAGTGGGAATAGGGCCACCCCTATTCCCTATAAACAAACAAAAGATCAGAGAGTGAAGATCCAATTTTACAGCTCTTAAGAATATGGAGATGCTCAAGTTCCTTGTAACCCACCACCCTCGCTACCAGGAACTGTTTCCTCTGTAGACAAGCCAGATGCTTCTAGATGATGAACCAGCCTCAATGTGAGAGCCTTTCAGGACAGGTAGGTTGAGCAGTGACAAGAGAGATGCTGCTTACAGGACCATGAAGGAACAGGATGCAGTCTAACCCATAACCAATTCACAGCAACTGGCTAGAGGTTGGGAGTTTTAAGTTGCTGTTCCATCATTGCTCCAATCACTGACATCAGCCTGAGCCAAATTCCCTTCCACCTTTACATTGGTGAGACCGTCTTCCTGAGAGGGGCTAATGGTGATTTTCGGTGGTTAAAATCGTAAGCATTTTATTTCCTAGCTGGCGTAGGGCATCTCGTGGTGGTAAACCACAATGCTGTTGGAAGACTATGGCCACCTCAGACAGGTGATATGTGGCCCTTTGGGTGACAGATACAGAGATGAGAGAATTGAAAGAGCAGTAAGGTGGGAGCAAGGCACAGTTCACTGTGTAATAGTAATAGTAGTAAGTTAACTTGAAAATGATCATACTCTACCCTTCCGGCCCTAGTTCAGGTTCCTTGGAAGAGGGAGATGTGACCATAAGGGTAAAGGTACAAAAAACAACTCTGGGGCACCTGGGTGGCTCAGATGGTTGGGCGTCTGCCTTCGGCTCCGGTCGTGATCCCGGGGTCCTGGGATCGAGTCCTGCATTGGGCTCCCTGCTCCTTGGAAAGCCTGCTTCTCCCTCTGCCTCTGCCTCTCTCTCTGTGTGTCTCTCATGAATAAATAAAATCTTAAAAAAAAAAAAAAAAAACAACAACTCTGAAGGGAGTGGGGAATTAAAAAAAACAAAAAACAAAACAAAAGAAACCAAACCCCTGATTGTTCTAGATCACACCTGATGCAAAGGATGCTGGGAAATACTATCTTTAGGAAGGAAGTCATGTGACCAGCGGAACCCTCCATTGTTGGAGGAGAAAATAGATACAATTATACCATAACAGGGTTTATTAAGCATAGAGGAACTTTTTAATGTCTCTCTCATTTTTTTAAGATTAAAAAAAAATTGTTTTAAGTAATCTCTACAACCAATGTGGGGCTCGAACTTACAGCCCTGAGATTAAGAGTCACACACTCCATCCACTGAGCCAGCCAGGCACCCCGTAATGTCTCTTTATTAAACTTTTCTTCAGTCTCAGTCTTCGACAAAATCAGGCTAATCTTTAATTGCTACCAGTTCAAACTCCCCCCCAACCCAAATCATTAATCCAGTTACTTAAAATTTTGTTTATTGAACATCTGTGTGTTGGCTTACTTATATGGTACCATTGCCTAGACCTTATAGTCGAGTAGAGGAGATAGAAAATACACAAGCAAAATAAGAAATAGAACTTGGGACACCTGGGTGGCTCCATTGGTGAAGCATCTGCCTTCAGCTCGGGTCATGGTCCTGGGGTCCTAGGATCAAGCCCCCATGTTGGGCTCCCTGCTGGGCAGGGAGTCTGCTTCTCCCTCTCCCTCTGCTCCTCCCCCTGCTTGTGCTCTCTTGCTTGCTCACTCAAATAAATAAATAAAATCTTAAGGAAAAAAGAAATAGAACTTAATTACAGATGTTGATAAGTCTTGTACAGGAAATAGGCTGTTGTGATAATCATGAAAGGCAGGGCAGGGAGCCTATTTTAGGTTTGGTGTCAGGAAAGCTTTGGAGGAGCTGACAAATGAACAGAGCCTTGGGAAATACCAAGGTGATGGCCATGTGACAGAGAGAGATTGGAGTGGAGACCAGGCAAGGCAGACAGTATTTAAGGCCTCAAGTGGGAAAACATTTAGTGCTCCTGAGGAATGTGTAGGCAGCCAGTGTGATTGTAGCATAGGAGGTATATATGAAGGAGGTGGTATATTGTATAGCATGGCAGGAAGGAGAGGGGCCACGTCAGGTAGGTCCCTGGGCCACATGAAAATGTTTGGATTTTGTTTTATACCAATGAGAAGTCACTGGAGGTTTTAAGCAGAAAACGGCATGAGTTTATTTACGTCTTCAAAAGATCTTTCTTACTGCTGAGTGGAGAATTGATGGGAAGACAGCAGGAGTAGAAGCCAGAAGACAAGGAGCATTTTTTTAGAACCACACATGAGAAAGGATGACCTTGGGGTGTCTGGGTGGCTCAGTTGGTTAAGTGTCCACTCTTGGTTTCGGCTCAGGTCATGGTCTCAGGGCCCTGGGATCCAGCCCTGCATCGAGTCCTACACTGGGCTCCGCACACACAGGCATGAGCTCTCTCTCTCTCTCAAATAAACAAAATCTTTAAAAAAGAGAGAGAGAGAAATAAAGAAGAAAGGGAAAGAAAGAAAGAAGAAAGAAAGAAAGAAAGAAAGAAAGAAAGAAAGAAAGAAAGAAAGAAAGAAAGAAAGAAAGGAAAGAAAGAAAGAAAGAAAGAAAGAAAGAAAGAAAGAAAGAAAGAAAGAAAGAAAGAAAGAAAGAAAGAAAAAGAAAGAAAGGCCTCTTAGATAAGAATGGTAGCTATAGAGGTGGGAAAAAATGGTGGATGAATTTTAAGAATTATCTGGAGAATTACCTTCAAGAGTGGCTTAAAACCAGTTATTTTATGCATAAGAGTCTAAGCATGTTCTTTAAAACCTATTTTTCCCCCTAGGATGACCAAGAATTTGGAGTTAGTGATTAATTGAAGTTCGTGTCCTGCTGTATCACGTTTGTTAATAATTTTCAGAGGGCAGCAGAAGTGGAGGGTGGGCGAGGCCTAACTTCCAGAGGAAAGAGCGAAGTCCTCTCTCCTCTCCTAACTCTATTGATTAAAGCCTTGGAAACTGGGGAAATTTGTTTTACTCTCTCTTTTATGGAATCTAAAAGGAAGGAGAAATGTTCAGAACCTGCTTCTCAGATCAGATATTAACAGCATAATAAAGTGCACGAAAATGGGGAAGATAATTAAGCCTTCCTTTCTTAACAATTATATCCTATTTCTTTTTTTTTTTTTTTTAAGATTTTATTTATTTGAGAGAGAGAGTGTGCACGAGCCGGGGGAGGGGCAGAGGGAGAGGAACAAGCAGACTCCACGCTGAGCCAGGAGCCCAACAGCAACCCTATCTCATGACCCTGAGATCACAACCTGAGCTGAAATCAAGAGTCAGATGCTCAACCGACTGAGCCACCTAGGTGCCCCCATTTATGTCCTATTTCTGATTAGGCACTTTCCCTTCCCCTCTGTCCTATCAGGTCAACATGGGTTGAGTGTCTGCTACACTCAATTGAGTGTCTGCTACATGTCTAGCCGTGGGGTCTTTCCATTGGAGGTGAAGAAGAATAAGACAGGTCCTGATTTCTAAAATTGTATAATCTCCCTGGGAAGATGAATGAAAAATAATGAAGCCATTCATACTCAATACCAGATGATATGAAATGCTGCATAATTAAGCACTGAGAGAGCGTAGTGCAGATGACAAATGCTACTGAAAAACAGAGTAGAAGAAGGCAAAAGAAAGGGATTGGAAAGTAATATTTATGAAATATCAATCCATCATAGGCATTTTATACTTGAACACTCATTCCATTCTCCCCACTCTTCTGCAGCAATAGGACTGGGGTGGGGACAGACGGGTGGGCTGGAGTAGTCACAGAAGGGGACACGAATGAGTGAGTCTGTCTTGGGCCAGGCTTGAAACAGGTGGAAAAGAGTGAAGATGGTGATGGAACCAACATAACTAGTCAACACATATACTTATGTTGGTTCCATCACCATCTTCATATGTGTTGACTAGTCATGTTCTGGGGAAGGGGAAAACTTGCTCCTGAACCCTAGCAGGAGCATGAATGGGGAGAGCCTCAACTCCAGACAGACCCTTTTAGGTAGAGTTTAGTCAGTCATGGCAAGATAGTGATGATTACTGGACAACATAACAATGATGTTTTATTTTGTTAATCACCATTTAACATGGTTGAGGAAGAATTCTGAAATGGAAGGTGAGAAACCATCCCGGAGGAAGTAGTATGAGAGGCAAATGGGGGTAGTAGAAATTCAAGTGAAGACATTTAACAAAGAGATTTCATGGGAATGAGTGGCAGGACTTAGAAATTGACTACTATTAGGAACATAGGAATATATCCCTAACATGGGAAATGGATTCACTGAAGACAACTCTAAGGGTTTAAGTATAGAATCTTGGGTAAATGCTGACACGCAGCGTGGCACCATGAATAGAACATGGGCTTTGAAATGAGCAAACCTGGGTGTAAGTCCCAGCCCCACTGCTACGTAACCTTGAGCAAAATGATCCTCTAGATGGTAATAATAATAGTACCTGCTACATTGGTTTGCTGAGACAATTAAACAATATGATTACTGTAAAGCGCTTAGAACAGCACCTGACACATAGTAACCATCCAATAAGTTGCAGTTGTTACTATTTTAAGTCCAAATGTCCTCATTTGTAAGATACTATTTGTTTCTTTTTACGATTTTATTTATTTGACAGAGAGAGACAACGAGAGAGGGAACACAAGCAGGGGGAGTGGGAGAGGAGAAGCAGGCTTCCCGCCGAGCGGGGAGCCTGATGCGGGGCTTGATCCCAAGACCCTGGGATCATGATCTGAGCCGAAGGCAGATGTTTAATGACTGAGCCACCCAGGTTTCCCGATACTATTTGTTTCTTAAGATTGCTGTGCCTAGGACGATTGTACAGTATTTGGCACCTAGTATTGTCCAAAAAAGTATTAGAATGTAATGAAATGGGAAAACCGTGTATAAGCAATTAACACAGAGACTAACAAATGATATAGTCAGCAAATGTTATCTTTTATGAGAATAGGCACAAAATAAATGTTATAGGGTTTCCTTCTCCATCCCTTTCTCCTTTCCCTTCCCCCTTTCCCTGTCCTCTTGGTAACACTAAGAGGTTAAGTCAGCTAGAAATAAAGATGATGAGTTTGGTTTGAACATGCATGGCCAGAAATGATGAGCTTTTTAGGTGGAGAATAGCCACTAGGCTGCTGGAAATCCGTCTGGATGATACATTAATTCTTGACATCTGTATTTGGGCGTTCTTGGCATAGAGGTGTCCTGCAGAGGTAGGTAGAAAGGCTGCATATTTCAAAAGGAGGAAGAGAATGTACTATTGAGAATAGAGGGCAATCAGTTGAGAATTGAGTCTCAAAAGTGCTGGCTATTATGGGTGGAGGAGACAGACGAGGGAATAAAGGAGGCAAAAGGAGGATTTGAGAGGTAGCAAGAGAATGAAGGTAGAAAGTCAAAGGAGGTAAGGGAAGGTTCAAGAAAGACCTGGAAATAAGCAGAATTAGGGCTCTGGTATGGATAAGGAGAATAAGAATGGTAAAATCGTCACTGTGGTCACACTGGTGACTTTCAAGGCTGTATTATTCCACACAGAAAAGAGTGGCTCTGTCACCAAAGGAAAGAGGAATGAGGTTGAAACAGCAAAAACCCAAACCAGACAAACAAACAACAATAACAAAACCAAGCCCCACAGCCAAAAAAAACCCACACAAAACAAAAACCCATCAGCTGTCTACTGCAGCCACCACTAATCTTGGAGGGAAAATTCTGGGCTTTTGAAGTTATGCAATTTAGGCTTAAATCCAGGTTCTGTCACTTCTTTATTTAACAGTGGGCTTGTTGAGATGTGCAAATGAGGTAACGTATAAAAAATTCAGCTTACAGCCTGGCACATAAGACTTGATAAATGCTCATTTCTTGGCCTATTCCTTGTCTTTCCACGTGACTTATCAGTGTGCATGTGGGGTGTGTTTGTGTGTGTGTGTTAGAAAGGGGTTTGGGAGAAGGGAGAAAAAGATGGTTAAGGGAACAGGACACTGAGAGGATGAACTGATAATGACTGGATGTATACTATTTTATAGAGAAGCTTAGTTATGAAACAAAGAGAGAAACAGGACATCGGATAGAATAAGTGACAAGTAAAGCTAGTTTTCCACCTAGGGTCTTCTGGGTTTATTTGCAGGCAAAAAGGAATCAGCAAAGGGGAGAAGTTGGAGCTATTAGAAAGGGAGGAAATCAAGGATGAGGAAGATAGAGGATCAAGAGTACAGTTGAGGGGCACCTGGCTGGCTCAGAAAAGCACATGACTCTTGATCTTGGGGTTGTGAGTTTGGGCCCCACGTTGGGTGTAGGCATTACTCAAAAAATAAATAAATAACCTTTAAAAAAGAAGTATAGTTGAAGTGGTCAAGAGAATTATCTGCTCCCAGATCGCTTACTCTGAGGGAAAGCAGACACTGTTGTGAGGATACTCAAACAGCCCACAGAGAGGCCTGCAGAGGGAGGAACTGAGTCAGCACCATGCAAATGTGCCATCTTGGAAGCAGATCCTCTGATCCCATCCAAGCCTTCAGATGAGTGCTGCCCTGCCATCTTCAGGGACCTTGAGACAGAACATCCAACTAAGCACTCTCACATTGTCTGACCCAGAAAACTATTCACAGGAGAGCCACAAAGTTTTTAAGAGAATTATATTGACAGAATACCTAAAGAGTTCAGAGACTGTCCAAAAGAAAAAAGACCTTTGGACCCCCAAATGCTGTAGGTGGGAAGCAGACTAAGAAGACTACTGCCCACCCAGCTGAGACACTCCCAGATTACTGACACAGAACTGTGCAGGATAATTCTTGGTTATTTTTTTAGACCTCTAAATTTGGGGTAATTTGTTACAGGACAATAGATAACTACTACACCTTGTTCTGAACACAGCTGATCTCATTTCAGCCTCATGGCAAATAGAATAAAAAAGTTCCCACAAATTTAGGAAAGGACTATTCTAAAGCCATAACAAGTAGTCACCAGAAGCAGTTTTAAACCTGTTTGATCAACAACTGTCTGTGTGAATATGCTTTTGAATGCCCACTCATCAGTGGAAGCCCCTGGCTTCTGACAGGCAAATTTACTGACCTGATTGAATTTTAGAAATGAGAGATGGACTCTAATGGGCTGGTTTCCAAAACATCTCCAATGAGGGAAGTTGTTGATCAATTGAACAGGTTCAAAACTGGTTCTGATGGCTATCTTTTACCATAGCTACTGAACAAACCAACTTTAAGTTTGTCGGGCCATTTTGTACTCTCAAATCGTGGGGGTTTTATTGTTGTTGTTGTTTGGTTTTTGTTTTGTAAGTAAGCTCTACACCCAACGTGGGGCTCTGAGCCACCCAGGAGCCCCTCAAATCATGTTTTGAGGTGAATCAGGGACAGTTACCTATTTTGTAAGTAGACACTGGCTGTGTACCTGTCTAAAAATAGCTGTGCCCAGAAGCAGGGAATAGACCTCTATGGTGAATTACCAGGAGCTCACCAACTCTTTATACTTAATACTTCCTCTAAAGGATTTTAATGGGGTTTCCAAGGGTCATCTCCATCCTTGCTTACAGATAGAATCGTTCCTCCCACCACCCCATCAGCTGACAATATAGTCATGTTTGTCTTTACATCCCCAAGAGACGCCAGTGCTTCTCTTGACTCCTATTTTCTGTGTTCTGTCCTAGGGCTCCAGAAACTCTTCCTATTATCTAACATCGGTCTGTCCCATTGTGGCCACCCAAAACTGAAGAGTTAGAACACCACAGATTATTCTGTTTGCAAAAGCCCATTAACAGTGATTATTACTCCATGCATGCATGATGAAACATAGATAAGTCCAAAGAGACAAAGGAAGATCAGCTTTTATTAAGTTTTGGGAAGAAATTGGAGAGGGTTGTTTTGAACAAAAGTTCATTGTAGAACAAAGAGTTTGAGGCTGTGGCTGGTTCACATTGGCTGCAAGCAGTCGTTAGTGCATTGTTGCTGGGGCAGGGAAGACTCATCCTTTCTTTTCATAAAAGCAGGCGATGAAACTCCTATGTGAAAAATGGCCTTAAGATAACTTTCAAGAGGGATACCTGGCTGGCTCAGTTGGTAGAGCATGAGACTCTTGATATTGGGGTTGTGAGTTCAGGCCCTGATGGATGTAGAGATTACTTAAATAAATAAAACTTTAAAAAAAAGGTAATTGTCAAGATAATTCTTAACTTTCTCTTTCTGCTAGTTGTGCAGGCTGCAAGGAGTGGTAGATGCCTGAGAGCTCCCCTGCCAGGGTTTCCTGACTCTATTTTAAATGAAATCTCTGGTTTATTTTCACACTCTCAACCTCGGGTGTTTGTAACCTTAGAGTAGATATAAAGTGGTGCGTTCAGAGGTCACCTGCATCATAGAATTACCTTGGTATGACTTACCAAGTATCATTTTTACTAGAGGATTTGCACCAGGGAAAACATTTTTATATTAAATACAGACTTTTAGAAAGTATAATTCAAAATTCACATACATTTTTAACAACAAACCTCAAACCTTAGGGAGAGCCACACACAGCCTGTCCTTCCAGTCCTTTCTGGCCAGATGGCTACTCTTCTGCCCGGATGGCTACTCTTCTGCCCTGGGGCTACTTTGGTAGGAGAGTACTGTTTGAGCTTATAGACACCCTTAAGGCAAACTTAAACACTCGTTAAGGCAAACTCAGTATTCTAATGGTTGAGTTCCATATTCTGGCTTCTCTTCAGATCCCTCAAATCTTTCTAATCATTGAGTTCCTTGTGTCCTGAATCAGTTTATCTTGGGAAGCCTTTGTGCTCTGGATCTTTCTGTTCTTAGACACATCACCTCAAGGCTCTTAGAGTCCAGCAAGTTCCATACATAAGATTGTGAAGATAATGATGCTCCTTCTGTTCAAACAGCCTCCTCTGCCCCAAGCAAAGTCAGGCTGTGAGGACTTCCTATAACCTTCCAGTTCTACCTGTGGACATATTCACTTCTGTCAGTCAACACCTTTATTCCAGTCTGTGTGCCCAGGACACAAGGTGATTGAGACTACGTACCTGCAATCCAGTGGAGAGGCATATAAGAAAATTAACAACTATAGAAGACAAAGAAGAACTTGGGCAAAGGGTAGTGGAGCAGAGCTACTTGCTGAGAAGGTAGCCCAGCCTTTGGGGTGAAAAGTCATTCTGTTGGTCTTAAGTTGCATCCAAATTTTACAAACACTGAGATGAGGGGGAAAAAATGTGTTTTGGCATTTGAAGAAATATGATATAGAGTTGGCCCTGTCACATGATAATATCAAAGATGCATAATTTTAAGACATGAGATTTGCTTCAAATTGAGTGGCATTTAGAGCCTTGTTAGATTTTTTGTTTTTTTATTTTTGCCCCCTTGCTTGGGCTAGCCCACTGGACATTAGGACCATTTAAGACAAATGAGAGGAGAAGCCTCACTATTGGGGATACAGAGAAATCAAAGAGTATGCATGTGGGATTGAAAGAAAGGAAATACTCAGAGACCACTGAAAGACAATGAGGATTTGGAAATTGAGAATAAAAGTAACAGAAAGCTGGCAACCTGGAGTCACTGGAGAGTGGCCAGTCTCTAGGATCCTGGGGTGGCAGGGTTGTGAGTAGAATCTAGCAATGCACAATTGTAAATACAGTTATTTGTGAATGGGGAATGTATTAGGTAAATAGTTCAGAAATTTTTCATATTAATAGAAGCTGTCACTGCAGTCATTACAGAAAGATATTTTTCCAGTATTATTTCCAATAATAATGGATAATAACAAGGCCATTTGCCTCCTCTACCAAGTTTAAAACTGGGTTTGTTAAAAGTGCATGAGAGTATTCTGGCTAATAAATGAAGAAGAAATGAGAGAATTGGAATATCACCATTTTGCAACTCCTAATGAATTAATGGATCTAGCCAGTGACTATCAATGGCTACTAATTTCACAAAAAAATGGCCCATTAGGTGTCTTCAGATGGAAGTACAGAACGCCCTCTATAACATTGTCTGGCCAAAACAACCAACCCAAAACATTCCAACATGAATCCAATCAAGCCTATTTAGCTACCAATTTACAGGAAATACATGGTTCCGAGGAACACCCTATGGGAATGCAGTCAGCAAAATCTAGGCTGTGTGAATCTGCAAGGTAAATAACCGACTTGTTTAACAAAGAAACTGGAAGGAAAATATTTGGAGGGAGAGCATATAGACCTGTCCAATAGAGTAGTCAGTAGCCACATGTGGCTATTTTAAAATTGGTTAGAATTCAATTTTTTTCAAAAAAGCATTTCCTCAGTTGTACTAGCATTATGTGAGGTATAATGCAGAAATTCTATTGGACAACACTACCATACACAAACAGGCATAGGTAGGATCTGTGTGCATCGCATAGATCTTATTGAGATCCTAATTCCAGAAAATAGACTTTAAACTGTTAAACAAACAGGGAAATTTGAACTGACCAGATATTTGATGATATTAAAGAATTGTTTTAAAAACAATGAGGTGTGATGATGATACTCTGGTTATCTCTTTTTTTTTTAAGACTCCTTATATGGAAGAGGTACGTACTGAAATAGATGAAATGGTGTCTGAGATTTGCCTTTAAATAAATTGGCTATGAATATTTTGATTATTGTTGAAACTGGGTGATAGGGACAATGAGGGGTCCTTAAAATTGTTCTCTGTCTTTTGTACAGGTTTGCCTCTTTCCATAATAAAAAGGTTCTCCATTTAGTATGTTTGAAACTGTCCATAATAACATACTTTTGAGTTTTTGTTTTTGTTTGTTGTTGTTGTTTTTGTTTTAAAAAGCATACGAGCAGGGTACCTGGCAGGCTCTGCTGGTGGAGCATGAGACTCTTGATCTCAGGGTTGTGAGTTTGAGTCCCATTTGGATGTAGAGATTACTTAAAAATAAAATCTTTTAAAAAATAAAAATAGAAAGCATCCGAGCAACTAGCTGCCTAAATATGACTAGCTGGGTATTTGCTAATTTTCCTCTCCTCAGTAGCAGCACTGAAAGCATTTCTCTCCTCTTAATGGTTCAATGCACCCAAAACAGAGGCCAATCATGTCTTTAAAAGATGTTATGTAGACTCTCCTCTCTCCCCACCTCTCTTCACTTGGAGAACACAAAGAGGAGAGAGAATCTTAAGAATGGAAAAGTGTGCATCCTCTCCACTGGTCTCCCCACATGTGATAGGACAGATCCCAGGAATTTTCTGGGATCTTGGGCTAACAAGAAGCCAGGAGACGTGTTATTCATAGAATACCATGGTAGACATGAGTGGTGACATTGTGCCATCTTTGGGGAGCTTACTGAAAGTTTCGTTCATCCTTCTGAGTATGGTTGTAATGCAGGACTTGACAGCCAGATGCCTGGAGTACTGGCCCTAGCCATCCAAATTGTCATGTTTCATGGGAGTGAGAATAGTTCTTTTTTTTTTTTTTAAAGATTTTATTTATTTATTTGAGAGAGAGAATGAGAGCCAGAGAGCACGAGAGGGAAGAGGGCAGAGGGAGAAGCAGACCCCCTGCTGAGCAGGGAGCCCGATGCGGGACTCGATCCCAGGACTCCAGGATCATGACCTGAGCCAAAGGCAGTCGCTTAACCAACTGAGCCACCCAGGCGCCCGGGAGTGAGAATAGTTCTTAAGTCCCATTTATCTATAAAGCTTCCTCACGCAACTTCCTCATACTCAATATCTCCCAGCTAAACTGGTGGGTTTTGCATAATATTATAAGTTTGCATAAATGACAAAAATATTATTGCAACACAAATAAAATTTTATTCACAACAATCCAACCTTGTCAGAGTATTTCCACAGCACTCCCAAAATACAGTATTATGAGAAGTAAAGGGAGGAGAAGCCTTTGGCCAAGTTGAGAATCATTTCCCAGACCCCTTTCCATCTCATCCTATTTCCTTTCTTTCTTTCTTTTTTTTAAAAAAATATTTTATTGGTTTATTTGAGAGAGACAGAGATAGTGAGAGAGAGCACGAGCCGGAAGGAGAGGGAGAAGCGGGCTCCCTGCTGAGCAAGGAGCCCAATGTGGGGCTCGATCCCAGGATCCTGGGATCATGACCTGAGCTGAAGGCAGCCGCTTAACTGACTGAGCCACCCAGGTGTCCTCCTGTTTCCTTTCCGTTGATGGCTTTGCTTTCCTATCTTTCCTGTGGAACTCAGTGATGGAACATCTTTGCATAGTCCCATCCAGGAATAAGCTCTGTGATGTTTGGATGGTGAGTTTGCCGAAGCAAGTCAGACTCTTCACAAGGAATAACTAGACGTGAGGAGCAGGATGGAAGAGCTCTCACCAGTAGAAGGCGAGGGCCAACTCCCAAGCCCCCACTACCAGGGCTCTCTGAGGAAGGCTGTGGCTGCTGCCTTGGCCCTGGATGGGGAATCCACAATGGGTCGCAGGAAAAAGAAGAGGAAAGAGTCCCGCCCCGAATCTATCATCATATACCGGTCAGAAAATGAGAAACTGGATGAGGAGCCCGGGGAATCTGAAGGTGGAGACCGACCTAAAGAAGAGGAGGGGGATGATTTTCTAGACTATCCTGCAGATGATGGTAAGTTTCTGGGGCCACTTACTTAAAGCCACAGGAAGGAATGAGGATTCTCCAGAAGACAGACAGGGATTTGCTCACTGACCTACTTCATCTTGTTGATAACATTTCTTTTTGCATTTCTTTTAAATGGGCAGTATTTATGAAGCATTGACTGTGTTCTCTTCACAGTGATGTGGAAGAGATCTCTGTCCTTTCTGAACTCCTAGTGTAATAGAAGAGACTGATTTATACACAGAAATTAGTAATACAAGCAGACTATGCTTATTATTTAGTTATTTTTAAGACTATGCTAATTATTTAATACACATAAGATAGAGAAGCTAATAGTTGACTTTTGTAATAATCAGGAACATGCAAATTACAACAGCAGTGAGTTATAATATTCCTTTACATGTTGGTTGGCCAAAAATTGGGTAAATTATGACAACATCAATGTGAGAAAATAGATGTACTGTCAATATACCTCAAGTGGAAATGGAATCTGTTTTACCCGCTTTGTAGGGACATTTATCAATATTTATTAAATTCAAACTGCGTATCTTATGTTCTAGAAATTCTCAGTATCTACCCCATGAAACTTATGCCAGTGGGCATAAGGATGCATGTATAAGAACGTCTGTTGCTGCTAACAAAGCCGTTGAGTGTCCGGATTAAGCATCACCGTGCAGCAATAGATGGAAAGCAGAGAGACAGGGATGAGCAGGGAAGGGGTGTGCACTGCGCATCAGTAGGATACACACGCAGCACAATCTTACACACACTAATGGATATTCATGCACTTATAAACTAGAAATAAGATCATAAAGTGGTGTCTGTGGCAAAGTTCCTCACACCCCTCCATATTACAGAGATCGTGTCGAGATTGAGGTCCAGAAAAGTGGAGAGAGAACTTGAAAAGCAAGTTAACCTGCTTCGCAATTTTTTCAGAGTCCACATGTGTGGAGTAAGAGTTCCCTGGGGGAGTAATAATGTCAGGAATCAGCTTCCTGAGGGAAATCCATCCACTCCATCTCTGAGTCATGGACTCCGGGACTGTGCCAGGTGCTATAAAAACAGGAACTGTGGTATTCAGCCTCCAGCTCAGGTGATGACACTGTGATAAAATGTCCACTCTTCTGACCTTAACATCACCTCCTTGATGCCCTGCAGGGATATGGAACTTGCCTTTGGACAGCCGCTATGTCACATTAACTGGGACCATCACACGAGGGAAGAAAAAGGGCCAGATGGTGGACATCCATGTCACACTGACAGAGAAGGAGCTGCAAGAGTTGACCAAGCCTAAAGGATCATCAAGGGAGATAACCCCTGAAGACAGAAAGGCCTGCCAAATGGGAGCAGACCGTGGGCCCCATGTGGTCCTCTGGACGCTGGTCTGTCTGCCTGTGGTCTTTATCCTCTCTTTTGTTGTCTCTTTCTACTATGGCACTATCACCTGGTACAACATCTTCCTTGTGTACAACGAGGAGAGGACCTTCTGGCACAAGATCTCATGTTGCCCCTGCCTCATTCTCTTCTATCCAGTGCTCATCATGGCCATGGCCTCTTCCCTGGGTCTCTATGCTGCAGTGGTCCAGCTCTCATGGTCCTGGGGAGCATGGTGGCAAGCTGCCCGGGACATGGAGAAAGGCTTCTGTGGCTGGCTCTGCAGCAAGCTAGGTCTGGAGGACTGTTCTCCCTACAGCATTGTAGAGTTGCTTGAATCTGACAATATCTCAGGCAATCTCTCCAACAAGGACCCCACCCAGGAAGTAGAAACTTCCACTGTCTAAACGTCCAACAACTTATGTCCTTCTCTGGTCCCAGGAGCCTATATATCATCTTCCAATTCCAGAAGATTCTTTCTTTAAATTAAACCCCTATCCCTCTCAGTTCTGGAAAACTCTAGCCCACACTGTTCTGTTCTACCATCTTGGTGGTTCCAGGAGGGCAGGGAACAGAAAAGCAATTTGTACCAAAACAGTCTATCCATGGATGAATTCTTCTCATTCCCTCTCCTAAAATGACCATTTATCTGGGACAGGGAGCTCAGTTGTGTGTAAGTTTTGGAGCTTGAAGATGTTACTGGTGCCTGGAACCCAGGGGAGGATGTGACTAAATGTGACCTGGAGAAAAAGGAGGTTCAAGGGAGACCAAGTTCACCAAAAAGATAGTAAGTAGGATGGAGAGAAACACTTAGGAGACAGGGCTACCACAGTGTAGCAGAATGTAAAGATTTGTGTGTATCACTTAGATTTTGGTTTAGTGGCATATAATTAAAGTCCGAAATATCAGTGGTTTAAACAAGATAGAAGTTTCTTTCTTTCTTGTACAGAAGAAGTCTAGAGGCAGACCATCAGGGGACCTGATGAAGTCATCCAAACCCCAGGCTTTATTCTCCTACTATTAGTAGGATATAGCCTTCTTTGTCCTTATCCTCAACACCTCAGTGCTGACTACATCTCCAGCCATCACATCCACGGTTCTTGCAGAATAGAGGAAGTGCACATCTTCCCTGTTTAAGGAGACTTCCCAGAAGTCTCACTCAACATGTCCTGTATTTCATTGGCTAGGCCTTTGTCACATGACCTCACACGCAAAAGAGGCTGGGAAATGTAGTCTTTTGGTTAGGCAGCTATATTCTAGGTTAAATATTTGGGTTCTGCTAATTTAAGCAAAAAGAGAAACATGGCTATTTTGGTAGGCATAAAAGAATCTCTGCTTCACGGTAATTATTTAAATATATTCAGATCCCAAACCGCTGATATAATTTTATTTATTTATTTATTTATTTATTTATTTATTTATTTAAGACCAAATGTTACACAGAGAATTTATACATAGATACTAGTTACATATACTATGTATTTGCTATAAATAGATATTAGCAGCTCATGTACTTTGCAATTAGTCTGTAATGTCATGTGGTTTCAGGGTTTTTAGAAAGGAAGACTGAAGAGTTGAATACAATTAGTAGCATAACTTTTTTCCTGGTAGTGAAGGCAGGATTGGGTAGTGATATTTAATCTAATCTACATATTAAAGACTGTGTAGGGAGGGATTGCAAACTTCCCCCAACAGGGATCAGTAGCCCTAAGCACAAAGAACACTGGGTTAGCTTTCTGTTGTTTGGCAAGACCTCACAGCCTCACTCACTCGGACCTCATTGGAGTTTAAGGAACAGTTATCTTGTCTGTGCTGTGAAATTGTGTCTTCCTGGCCACTAGGGGGTGTATACCAGATGAATCCGGATTAATAGAATCTGAACTTTTTTTTTCTTTATACATTTATTCCTGAGGGTGTCTTTCTCATGTCAAGAAATCGAATCCCAAGAGATCAAGCAGATTCTGGAGGTTTGGGTCCTGACAAGAACAGCTGGTGCCCATTTCTTGTTCATGTCTCAGGAAGAAGCTGTGTTAAGAACTGCTGTGAATCAAACCAGATGGGTCAGTAGTGCTCTCCACAGAAGGCCAGGGACATTTGCTTAAAGTATGGTGAACGCCACTTTCAGAAGAACCCCCTTTAAAAACAACAACAACAAAATCTATTATTAGTTTCACACAAAACAAAACTCTGCCCAGCATTTTTGAAAGTAACCTTGGTGCTCTCTGGTGCTTTTGCAGAAATGTAAACAATTGAAATGAAGAAAAAGAAAATAAAAATAAAATAAAATTAATTTTGTTCACATGGTCTTTGAATTTCTCCAAAATTGCTTTGAATGCTACCATTTGCAGAAAAAGGGTGAGCATGATGGCTGTCCTATATATGTATAATGATCTTAATATGGATCCTTATGTCTTGACTCTTTCCACGTACCACTAATTTATGGGGATTCCATTTAGGTGGACTGTTTTCCACAGATCACATATTTACCTAAGCCTACATGAGGAAGTTGCAACCACATTTGTCACATTTTTCTGGGATTAGGGAAACCGATGGCCAAGGCCAAAAATAATCATGATTAGGACTAGGGTATGGTGGCCGTGGTGGAATGGAGGAGGATGGGGTGAGGGTGGGGCCCAAGGGATACTGAGATGAAGTGGACATGGCCTTCAGCCTAGTTAGGCTCACAACCTAGTGGAAGAAACTGAAATCATTTTACACGGGCTCTAGTAAGTTATGTAAAAACCGAGACTAGAGGCAGGAGGACTTAACCAAAGAGATCTAAAGAAATCTTATCTTTCCTGTCAGCAAATACCTAGAGAATTAGTACCCTCTATGAACATTCTGTTAGCTCATAGTTACCTAATATTTATGGTGAGCATCAAGGAGGACTGTGCTTTCTGATGGCTTTGCAGCCATGATACTCTGAGCTGGGTAAACCATATCTGATCCACTATGACGATACTGCTATTCCTAAGCCATCTTGTCTATTGACATTGAGCAACACCTTCATATCACTTCAAGGTCCAAAAGGGAATAAAACCTTTATTCTCCAGGATTTTCATTCAATAAAACAAGATTCTAGATTTTAAAGATTAGATGACCTGAAAGTTTCATTGTGCTCTTGATGGCCACCCAGGACTTATATTTTGCAGTGTTGCAAAAGCTTAGTGGTTAACATCATTGGCCATCCCCCCTTCCCCCCTGAGATGCAAACAAGCAGAGGTACTAGAATCTCTTTTATTTCTCCCAGGAAACAAACCTGTACTGGAGGAGGTGTGGGTGAGAGGGAGAGAGAAGAGAGATGAAGGAGCGAGGGGGGGAAAAAAAAAAAGAAAGCAATAGAAACTACCTACAAGATAAAAACACTGATATGGTTGACACAAAATGAACAAAACTTTCAGAATCTCTAAAAGTAAGAAAGAGTTTTATTCAAGCCCAAGTTAGAACAGCTGCCAGGGAAACACACTCTTCACAGGGAAGAAAGTGCTCTGGAAAATGAACAGTTTTTACAGGGTTATGTACTTTTTTCACTGAGATTATAGATTAGCATATGGGCAAGTATCACTAGTTTTATTGTAAAGGGATAGGAGTGTTGATCAATAACTCAAGGACAAGATAATTTTTGTCATTTACAAAGCAGATGTACAATGCATGTGTGGTGGCCCATAAATCAGGCTTTGGGTCTGAACAAAGGTTATTACAATTGACAAGGGAGCAGAAGGCAAGCTGAGGACAAAGCACAAGCTGACACCCCACAACCTCCCCTCCCCCCCACTTCCAGGTGGGTTGTGTGTGGCATTCCTCGGGCACTCCTGGCTGCCCTAAAGCTAAGGGAGGAAAAACAAATGGCTAACTGATAGAGATCACAGTCTAACAGGACATGAGTCTCCCTTAGTTCACAAATGTCTTAGTAGGGGCACCTGGGTGGCTCAGTTGGTTAAGCGACTGCCTTCGGCTCAGGTCATGATCCTGGAGTCCCGGGATCGAGTCCCGCATCGGGCTCCCTGCTCAGCGGGGAGTCTGCTTCTCCCTCTGACCCTCCCCCTCTCATGCTCTCTGTCTCCCATTCTCTCTCTCAGATAAATAAATAAAAAATCTTTAAAAACAAAAACAAAAACAAAAACAAATGTCTTAGTAATTTACAAGAAAAAAGTATTCTTATCCATAGCCTAACTTCCAGAGACCCATAGATTCAATTTCCTGGAGCCCTAACATCACCCACCCATCCATAGTGATGTGGGAAACAAAGGTAGAAGGAAATGTAAATAAAATTAAATTTCCTTATAACCTGCAGCCCATGGACAAGGACTTGTGATAGGCAGAGTATAACGTTCCTCCAGGAAGCTCCCAACTGTCTTACTATTAATGCTTTACTAGAGGGAAAAACAACCTTAATTTGACAATGGCAAAGCCTCCAATATCTTGTAGGTCTTCTTTAACATCTCAAAGTTCTTTTGAAAACCTCCTTTTTCCTTATGTCCCCCAACTCCCAAGTATATAATCAGTTACCCCTCACAACCCTGGTGCAGCAGCTCTTTTTGCCCAAGGGTCCTGTCTGATGCTTTAATAAAATCACCTTTTTTTGCACCCAAGACATCTCAAGAATTCTTTGTTGGCCATCGGCTCCGGACTTCACCTATGTAAGTTCAAAAACTACATCACAGTCATATTGACTTAGAAATCTGAAATGGCTTCCCTTGTGTATCAGACCTTTGGAGAGGTTTTTTTATCATCAACATGAAACATACAAATTTCCTTCACTAGAGTGAATTACTACTAATTCTTTCTTACATTTTATAGAGAGAATTTAAAAAAAATAATATTTGAGTTTTAAAAGAACTCCTTGGACTTGAAAGCTTGAAGTGATGTGATGTGGGCCAGGAGTATGGTCAAGAAAGAGTTCTTCAGATATTTTTGGGACAAAAAGGTGTTTTTAGGGGTGCCTGGGTGGCTCAGTCGGTTAAGTGTCCAACTCTTGATTTCAGTTCAGGTCATGATCTCAGGGTGGTGAGATCAAGCCCCATGTTGGGCACTGTGCTAGGCATGGAGCCTGCTTAAGATTCTCTTCCTCTCTCTCTGCCCCTCCCCCACTTCCTCCCCTGCCCCCCCAAAAATATTTTTTTAATTTCTTTTTTTTCTTTTAATATTTTACTTATTTATTTGACAGAGCACAAGCAGGGCGAGCAGCAGACAGAGGGAGAGGGAGAAGCAGACTCCTCCCTAAGCAGGGAGCCCAACACGGGGCTTGATCCCAGGACTCTGGGATCACGACCTGACCTGAATGCAGATGCTTAACCAACTGAGCCACCCAGGCATCCCAAGATGCTGTTTTTATTAAACCCTGGGGAAAGTACCTGTGGGCAGAAAGGGCTGCCCTGGGATTGTGAGGAGCTATTGACTATATACTTTTAAGTTGAGGGGAAGGGTAAAGACAAAGGAAGTTTCTAAAAGGGATTTTTCATATGTTAAAGAAGACTTGCAGGATCTTGGAGGGCTGGCTATCAAGCTAAGGTTGCTTTTTACCTAGCAAAGCATTAACATAAAGGCAGTTGTGAGTTCCTTGGGCAATGTCACTGCCTGTCTCTAGTATTTGTCAATGGGCTGCAAACCGTAAGGAAATTTAATTTTATCTGCATTTCTTTTGTATGTTCTCCTCCTCATCACGAAGAACCTCCTAGGCTCTATGAGCATACTCTGAAAATGCCTGACTCTATGGCTTCAGGGCACTTATAACATTGGCTTCCTTGAGACCCCTCCTTCCTCATGGCATCCTTATCTTTCCAGCTTTAGTTTCTGCTTTTTCTGGGTCCATTTTCAAGAGGGAGAGTATCTGGTTGGATTTGATTTCCTGGTTTGGACAGAGGTTTGCAGCTATTTTGCAGATTGCAGGACCCTTTGTCCAATCACCTCAGCTTGTCAGCCATTTGGTATAGAAAACAGCTATTTCTGGGCAAGGTTAGGCTTGGGCCTGCCTCCTTCAAAGAAAGCTGGGCAGTTTCTTTTGAAAAGGGGTGGTGGGTGATGTGGGAAACAAAGGCAAAAGAAAAATTAAATTTCCTTACTAATTAACAGTCCATTAACAAGTCCTTGAAACAGGCAGAGTGATATTCCCCTAGGAACTCAGCTGCCTCAATGTTAATACTTTTTTTTTTTTTTTAAGATTTTATTTATTTCAGAGAGAGAGACAGCACATGAGCATGAGCGGGGGGAGGGGCAGAGGGAGAAGCAGACTCCCCACTGAGCAGGGAGTCCGCTGAGGGGTTTGATCCCAGGACCCTGGGATCATGACCTGAGTAGAAGGCAGACCCTTAGCCGACTGAACCACCCAGGTACCCCTCGGTGTTAATACTTTGCTAGGGGCAAAAGGCAATCTTAGCCCAACCCCCCATGATCCTGTGAGTCTACTTTAACATATAAAAATTCCTTTGGAAACCTCCTTTATCTTTACCCCCCCCCCCAAGATACATGTTTGCTATCATCCCCCAAGCACCGATATACATCTGAAGGGTCTCAGGACTGAGGGTTTACTAAACACTAATAAATGACCTTTTCCTAACAATAGCTAGCCCTCTCAAGGTCCTGGAAACCTTGCTTCCAAAATTCCTTAGAGACTTATGCTACCCCTAATCCCCTCCCAACTTGAAAGTATATATAATCAGTCACCTGTCACAATCCCAGTGCAGCTCTCTGCCCACAGGTCCTGTCCCTATGCTTTAATAAATCCACGTTTTTGCACCAAAGACCTCTCAAGAATTCTTTCTTGGACGTGGGCTCTGGATCTCACCTACCTACATTCAAAAACCCCAACCACTTTCTACAACTGTGAGCATGTCAGGCATTTTGATTGATAGCCCCCACCTCTAGAACATCTCCCTAGATTGGCCTTCCAAATTAAATCTCACCTCCTTCCTTCCCAACCAGCGACACTTCAAACTATCGGGAGATCCTTAGCAGGTGTTGTTTTATGCCTCCTGGCCTGTGCATGTCTCACTCCTCTGCAAAGGGAGGAATCAATCTCACTATCCACTGCCTGGAAAACTGTTCTTTCAGCAGTTGGTTCCAATGCCACCGCATCTGTGAAGCCTTTCATTATCTCCCCCTTTTGAAAGAAACAGGATTTTAGAGAAGTTAAGTGACTTTCTAGATTCATATTCATACTCAAGGAAATCGAAGTCCACAACTCTGACACAAAACGCCGCGGGAGTGACTCTCAACACCAGGAAGCGGAAACGAAGCTTTCCGTGAACTCATTCCCGAGCAAGTCCGCGTCCACAAACCCCTTCCCAGGGCGGGACGCAGGGGCTGCGCATGCTCAGAGCGTCAGCGCACAGTCTCCCCGCCTCTTCCAGGCGCCGTGGGAAGGGGCTCTTTTTACGACGCTCTGGCTCCGACTCCCCCGGACCTTCGTAGCGGCGCTCGGGGTTCCCGCCCGGAAGAGGCTGCCGTGGCACCCGCGCACCGGCAACATGGCGCGGTCCGGGAATAAGGTAGAGGGAGCGTGGGTTTGGGCCTTGCGGGTGCAGGGAGTCCGGAGAGTGTGGTTCCGGATCAGGAATCACGGGATCGCGGCGGGCCAGGGCTGGTTCCCGAGGGCCGGCCCGAGGGATGCGCAGAGACCCGCTGGGGATCTGGAGTCCGAATGCCTGAATTTGAGCCTCGCCCACTCCCCATTTCACTCCGCCGCCTCAGCACTCCCATCCTCTCACTTCCTCTTCATCTCCTCACCCCACCACTCTCCCCACTACGCCTGCCTCTTATTACCCTGGTCCGCTCTTCTCTTCCCTTACTTCCTTCACCCCCTCCATTGCTTTTTACAGTCTATAGGAGAATGAAATTCCGCCTTGATAAACACCTACCCATAGATTTGTAAAACTTCAGAGAGGGACCGTCGGTAAAATACGTATCTTAAAATGTAAAGCGTCGTATTAACCCCATCATAATCTAACATTTCACATTTATCGAAATCTTACTCTGTGAGGCGCTGATCTAAACGCTTCATTCCTATCTCATGGTGGAATGAAGATAATAATCTTCACAACAAGCCCATGAGGTGAGAATTATTATCCTCAGTTTACAGTTGAGAAAACTGAGGCATAAAGAAAGTGAAATGATTATCCCAAGGTTACCCAGTCCCTACGAGGTGGAATTCAGATTTGAACCCAGGCTGCCTGGTTTCAGAGTCATCTGTGTTGCTAGGAACCTCAGTGTCCCAGATTAATAATGGACAATATGATGAATTTTTAAAATGGTTTTTTCAATACAGGCAGAGAGTGGTGGTTGTCTCTGAATGATCACTAGAGAGAGGTGTGTTCCAGAGAATTATTTGTTCATCCAGACGTCCAAAGCCTAGGCCCTTTAGTAGGCATCTGGTATACAGATAAGCAAGATAGGAGTTTGAGCAACTGATCCCTCGTCCCCACAACTCCCCATTGGGGAATGTTGATTAAAGCGATTATGAACATTTGATGCCACTTACCTTTTTTGTTCCTCCTCTGTCAGCTGCTGAAAACGTTGCAGCTCTAATGGAGCAGCTGTTTATGGCAGGTGGACTTGCAGCAAAATTCTAACAACCTGTATTGTTTCCTTGTGTAAATGAAGAGTTGCTACGCTGCTCAGTTTCCCTTTCCTGGTTTTCTTACTATTGCCGGATAGGAACTTGAAGTATCACACAGACCATTCTTCTGCTTCCAGAAAGAAGTCCTATATTGTAAAACCCTTTGATGCCATTTTTTGGATACTTGATTCCTAGTAAAGGACTTTTATTCCTCTAACTTAGAGTTTTCTGGACCAAAAAGACTTTATTTTCTAACTTAGGGTTTTCTGGTTTAACGGAGTTTTAAAACTGTTTTCTGGTATATTAGATAAATGGAGTGACATATTTTGGGACTCTTAATTTTTTTAAGATTCTTATGCTCAGGGCATTGAAACTATGGGGTGTAAATTTTATTGTTTTCAAAGGAATTTTGTAGTTTATTATCACCCTTTTTTCAAACGTGCTATCTTTACTCCAGAAATCTCTTAATACTGGTGCATTATGTTCTATGCTTTGTAAACTAGGGAAAAACTTAAAGTCTTTCTTTTCCATGTGTTGCCTGAGATATAACCAAATTTAGAAATCATCTGTAACTTCTCTCATAGGAATGCATCCAGATTTTTCAAACACTTTTTTTTTTTTTAAAGTAGGCTCCATGCCCGGCGTGAAGCCCAATGTAGGGCTTGAACTCATGAGGCTGAGATCAAGACCTGAGCTAAGACCAAGAGTTGAATGCTTAACTGACTGAGCCACCCAGGTGCCCCAGATTTTTCAAACACTTCTAGGGTCAGGAGATCACTGCTTCAGAAAAAAGAACAGTAGTTCTTTTATTGATCCTTTCTTAATGTTATTTTTCTTCTTTGTATGGAGTCAGACCAATCTTCCTGTAACTTCATCTGTTGATCCATTCCATCTCTCTCTCTGACCAGTCCTTTTATAACACAGCTGCCAAATAGTTGGGAGGAACTATCATGTTCCCCTTAATCTTCTCATCTGCCTCAAATATCTAGTTTTTTTCCCAGCTGTTCCTCACATCCCATGTTCTGTAGATCTTTCTCTAACCTGCATATTTCATGTTCTCTTGTAATTAGTCTTTCTCATAAGATGTGCACATGTGGTCTGATTAGTACAAAGCACAGGTGAGACTCACTGCCAAAGAACATTGACCTGGAAAAGACCTTGGATCTCATCTAGTCCAACAACTGCTTCCTGCCTGGAATTAACAGCGAGGTTAAGTGACATTCCCAAGGACTCAGAGCTAATTGGTAATAAAGGTGGGACTAGATCTCGATCTCCAGATCGCTAACCTAGTCTTTTTTCACCATTAGATCTTTGTTTTCCGTCCTTGAATTCAATACACTGTTGATACAACCTAAAAACATGAGATAGGTGTGGGGAAGGTAGTGCTGTAGCCATGTCATACTGGTGACACATTATAATCCACACTGAAATCGTGAGTTGCTATTTGTTCAGGTCTCCAACTCATATTCTTTTGAGTTCTGGATGCCAAACGTAGAACTTTGCACGTAACTGTTTTATTTTAGTTTGTTTCCCCTATTTTCTTAGTCCCCACATACGTGATTGCTACCTAATGACTAGGGGTCTGTGTGGTTTCCTCTACCTGTAACTCCCCTTATTCACATGTTTGACTCCTGTTCTTTAACACTCACTCAAAGATCACATCCAGAAGTCTTTTCTGCCTCCTTACCCCTCATTTATCCCCTCCACCATCCCCTCCACCAGTCTTGGGTAGATGCCCCTCCCATGTACTCTCCCAGTGCCCCCGGCACATGTCTGTCATGGAATATTGTGCCGTTATTATTTGTTTATGTGTCTTTGTCCCCTACTAGGATAGATTTGGATAGTCTTCATTTTAGATCCCCAGTTCATGAACTGATTCAAATTGTTGGGATATATCGTTTTAGTATGTATAGATTGTAGCAGTCACCTGTTGCCACAAAAACGCTTCATAACAAGCTACCCCCAAATCAGAGCCTTACAAAAAAAGCATCTGTTCTCGTGCTTGTGGTTCTGCAAATCAACTGCAGTTTGTTTGATGTATTTTGGGCTCAGCTGCGCTGGACTTAGCTCTGGCCTATAGATTGTTTTCAGGTTTGCTCCCCATGGGTTTATTCTTGGGCCGAAGAACAGCAGCTTCCTAGAGCATGCTCCTATCCTGGGTTTCTATCTTTCAGAAAATATTAGGACTATTTAAAGTTTCTCTGTAGTAAACATTTATATGTCTTAGATACATTCTCTAATTAGAACACTCCCCCTCCCTCTTAGGGAATGTCCTGCATTCCCTAAGTCCTCTAGAGTATGGGTTCTGTGGGTGAAATAAACATAGGCCATACCTGTTTTCTTTTTTTATGACCATTATTAACATTTTCTCACTCTTTGGGACATTATTTCTAGGCAGCTGTTGTACTGTGTATGGATGTGGGCTCTGCCATGAGTAACTCCCTTCCTGGTGAAGAATCTCCATTTGAGCTAGCAAAGAAGGTGATGACCATGTTTGTGCAGCGACAGGTAAGTTTCAGACTGGTCTTGAGCTTATAACTCTTGTTTTAACTGCTTGTTGTCTCCACTTAGTAATGCAAGATACCAGCCTGCTTATGATGTCCAGCCTCAGTATTTTTGGTACATTATTTTTTTTTAATTTTTGTTAGAGAGAGATAGAGTACATGAGCGGGGGCAGGGGCAGTGGGAAAGGGAAAGAGAGAATCCCAAGCCAACTCCATGCTGAGCATGGAGCCCAACATGGGGGCTCGATCCCAGGACCCTGAGATCATGACCTGAATCAAAATCAGGAGTCAGATGCTTAATGAACTGAGCCACCCAGGCGCCTCCAGCCTCGGTATTTTTGGGAATCTGAGGAGTTTTTTAACATATACTTATGTGCAAGTCCAACTACCACTAGAGCCTGACGTTTTTTTCTTCCTTTATTTTGGCCCCTCCAGTAGAAATTAGTTTTTATCAGAAACAAGGCAATGTAAAAATGTTTACAAATACAGTCTCTAGAGCCAGGTGGCCTGGGTTTGAATCTTTGCTCTGTCATGACTTTTACTAACCTTGTAATCTTAAACAAGTCCTTCAACTACTTTGTGCCTATTCCAGTTACCTTTTGCTGATAACATATTATCCCAGAACTTAATGTCTTAAAGTACACTTTTTTTTTTTAAATCATCTCTCCTGGTCTTAGGGGATGACTAGGTAGCTCAGTTGGGCTTCTTGTGGTCGCTTGTGCAGGGGCACAGAGATGTTGGCTGGGCTGAATCCCTTGAAGGCTAAACTGAGTCGGACGTCTAAGATGGCTCACCCCCATGGCTAGAAGTTAAGTCTTCTGGTGGCTGTGAGCTCAGTTGGGGCTGTCCATCAGAACCCTTACATGTGGTCTTTCTATGTAGCTTGGGATTCTTACAGGAGGGCAGCTAGTTCTAAGAAGGAAGGTTCTAAGAGTGGGTATTCTAAGAGACCTGCATGTGGCTTTTTATGACCTAGCTTTAGAAATCCCAGAAAGTCATTTCTGCTCTTAGGAGCCAAGCAGGTCACTAAGACCAGCTCACATTCATGGGGCAGGAATGGGAGGTGGGGGTGAATAAGACTCCCCTGTTGGTTTCTGTCCCTTCTACTTGGTATGACTGCTGCTTTTCCTAAGCTCATGAACTTCTGCCT